AAACTTTCTCATATCTGAAAGATAGAGTCTGTAAAAGGCTACAAGGGTGGAAAGAAAGGTTACTTTCTAAGGCCGGCAAAGAGATCCTGATAAAATCAGTTGTACAATCCATTCCAACATATGCAATGTCATGTTTTGATCTTACCAAAAATTTATGTGACGAGTTGGGTTCGCTTGTGTGCCGGTTTTGGTGGGCACAGCAGGAAAATGAGAACAAAGTCCATTGGGTGTCATGGGAGCTGTTATGCAGGCGCAAGGAGCAAGGAGGGATAGGTTACCGGGACCTGCATTTGTTCAATTTAGCTATGTTAGCGCGGCAAGGATGGCGGCTAATCATGGAGCCAATGTCGCTATGTGCACAAGTTCTCCGAGCAAAATACTTCCCGACGGGAGACTTAATGGCTGTGAGAGAGAAACCGGGGATATCATATTCTTGGAGGAGCATCGTTCGGGGAATCCAAGCGCTGAAGAAAGGTTTGATTTGGAGAGTGGGAGATGGCACAAATATTGATATATGGCACGATCCCTGCTTACCGAGTGGAATTACCAGACGACCTATTACACCCCGGGGGAGAACTGTGTGAACAAGGTCGTTGATCTCATCGATCCGACTACTGGAAAATGGGACAAGGAGCTCATTGAAGGTCTGTTTTGGGAAGAGGATGTCAAGCAAATCCTAACAATACCAATTAGGGCAGGTGTGGAGGATGGGTTGGCTTGGCAATTGTCACGCCCGGAATTTCTATCCAAAATTCCAAACGCTTACATGTGTGTGAACCCTCGTCCAGGAATCATCCGAGGCACACAATAACAAATTGATAATAGAGTACAAATATTACTCTAATTAATAAGCGAATATAAAGTCATTACAGAGGTAGATAGTTCCTCTCAATCAATAAAGATCTAAGCAGCGGAAAATAAAATAAACGGCGCAGACGGCTCCACTCCACAGGCAGCTTGACCAGGGCTACACCTAATCCTCCACACCATCAGCATTATTGTAGAACTCTTCCTCTGATGAATGATTGCAAGGTGAGTATATGACATACTCAGCAAGCCACGCAGCAAATATGCAAGTGTACAGGATAACAAAGGATGGCATAGTAGGGTTTCATTTGCAAAAGCAGCATTTAGCAAACATTTGAGAATTTAATAAAACAGTTAAGTAATTAAACAATATTAATCCAACGCTATACAACATACCCTGTTGTATAGGCCCAACCATTCTGAACAACCATCCAGGCTGCACAGTTCTATCTCCAAACCAGGAATGCACCATTCCAAACCAGGAGCTAATCAAATTATTACCAATTATAGCATCATTTACTATGGTGAGAAGTGTGAAACTAATCACGAAAGACATTGTTAGACCCGCCCATAACCGCGGGCACGGCTATTCGAATAGTTTTACTCTGATCAGAGGTGTACTACTGTACCCACAAGACACAACCCCACATCATGTCACCATGTGCCTCAATACCACCACGGTACCTCGGAAAGGAGTTGTGACAATACCCCTTGCATAACACAATCCACCGCAGCGCACCTTCCTGGATCATAATCACCCCCTTAAAAACAAGGCATGGACTCCCCAGCGACCCCCATGGGCTTATCTCCGCCACTTCTCAGTCTGGTGCCCCGCAATGAACCATGCTATACAAAAGATAAAGCCGTTGCCCACGCTGGCTTGTGGTTGGCACGGTTAATGTTTCACAACCGAAACTCGTGAACCGGTCCTTAATTGTCATGAGCACGACCATCAAAACCATGTGCTCACAACCCACCATTATCAGGTTCTAGTTGGCACATTAATTAATTAACTAAATCACGATTGACCATCGTGAGCTATCATTAAGCCATCATTAAATAATAGTGAGTCATAAGTTATCCCAATAGTGTGCTAATGTTTCTAAGCAGGGCTAAGCAATTATATCTAATATCTAGTTGAACCAACATATAGAGCTCAACTAGTCAAGTTATAATAACCCAAGGTATCAAGGAATAAGGTAATGAAGAACAAAAGGGCTATAACAAACAATAGGTTAAGTCCACCCAATGACATTCGAAAATAAATGCAATATTTGAATAGAAACAATAGCTTTAAATAGGATCAATATGCTCAAAGGGTTGTTTGGGATCTGTGTGACTTGCCTTGCTGGCCTTGGAACTCTTCAAACTCTTCTCCGGCGAAAACGGACTCTCCGGAAACAACGGAATCTAAACAAAAAGAAGCAAAAACACCAAAACAACACATAAACAATCATAAACAGTACATGTGGATATTTTTAATATGTAGATCTCAATTTTAGAAAAATTTAGAGACTTGAACCAACTAAATCGGAGCTAAGATGAATTAGTTATGAATTTTTGAAGATTTAATCGAATTAAAACACTTAAACTGATTTTAATTGAATTATGACGCAATAATGAATTATTTTTGAAAAGGAAAAGAGGATTTATTGCGTCAGCGGGCTAGGGTTTCGGTGGACCGGGCGCACGGGCGACGGTTCACGCGAACGGACGGCCGAGATCAACCCATCCAAAACGGACGGCCGAGATCGATCGGTCCACGACCGGCTCACGGCGAACGGCCCCGATGACGTCGGCGATGACGTCACCACCGGCGGCGGCGGCTCGGCGGCTCAGATGGCGCACGCTCGCCAGCGAACGGCGGCGCTTCGGCACGAACGGAGGGCACCAACGGGTAGCGGGCAGCACGGCGAACTCACCGGCGACCAAAGCGACGGCAGAAGAGGAACGGACGGCGACGGCGACGAAGAAGAAGCGGCAGCGCTCTTCGGATCGACGGCGGCGATGGTGCTCCGGCGGTCTTCGGCGGCGGCGAAGGGGCGGACGAGAACGGCGGAGACTTGGCGATCACGACGGTGGCCTTCCCGAGCGACAACGACGACCGGAACAGCGGCGACGCACGGCTGGAGCGACGGCGGCGACGGCGGCGCGAAGCTACACGGCGCTAGGGCACTACGGACGACGAGAGGCGAAGGCGAGGGTGGCGGCGGGTAGAGGAGACACCGGGGAAGCTTTTAAAGGGGCTAAGAGGCGGCGGTGAAGGCCCACGGCGGCTGGCGACGAGAAGGAAAGTTCGGGAAAATCGAATCCGAAACAAACTCGAATCCACGAATTTCCAAACGATTTTAGCCGGTGTTTCCAAAGGAGAAAAGGTAGAGGAGATCGAGAAGATCATTTCCCCCTCTATTGATTCGGCCGGAAACGGAAAGGAACGGCCGGATTGGAAAGCGGCAGCGGCGGCGCGAAACTAGGGTTTCGGCCGGAGGAAGACGACGACCCACCTGTCAGCGGGCGGACGCGCGCGCGCGGCGGACTGGGCCGGCTGGGCCGAGGAGAGAGAGAGAGAGAGGGGTTTTGGGCCGACTTTCGGCCCAAAGCCAAAAGAGACTTTTTAAAACCTTTTTCAATTTAAATTATTCATGAAATGCAATTCCATTTATTAAAAATACTTCCTTAGCTCAAATAAATCCCAGAAAAATCTAGGAATTATAGAATTAAGCAAAGTATTTAATGAAATTTTATCTGGCCCCATTTTATATTGGAATTTATTAATTAAAATTAGATCTTCTCTTCTAGGCTTTTAAAATAAATTCTAAAAATTCCATTTAAACAACAATTTATATATTTTGAATTTTCAGGATGTGACAGCAATTTGATAATAGGGGAATTTTTTCAGTCAAGTCTGCGTATCATGTTTTGGAGGATGAGAGACGTCGACATAAACCGAAGCAGGACAGAGCATCCAGCAGCGGCCAAACAAACATGGAAAAGTTGTGCTGACAACAGATTTGGAAACTTCCATATCTCCCTAAAGTTAAGCACTTCATATGGCGCCTTGCACATAACAGCTTGCCCTTTCGCATGAGTATTCAGAAGCGTGGTATGCAGATTGATACTAGATGTCCAGTATGTCACAGACAGAATGAGGATGGTGGCCACTGTTTTTTGAAGTGCAAACTTATGAGGAAATGCTGGCAGAGCTTGGACCTGGAAGAGTGTAGACTGGAGCTGGTCCAAATGCAGTCGGCTAGTGAATTTGTGGCCAAAATCATGCAGAAAAGTGACAAGGTCAAAACGACTATATTCCATTTTCTGTGGGTATGGTGGAGTGCAAGTAATAAAGCAAACGTTGGGGAGGAGATGCTGTCTCAGGGCGAGATTGAGCATCGTGTTCAGAATACTGCAGCGTATCTGAAAAACCCTGTCTTACAGAATACAGTTCAGTCTGGCCGGTCTGTGAGAAAGGGCAACACACATGGAAGGCACCTCCACCAGGTATTCTGAAAATAAACTTTGATGGAGCTTATCGGGAGATGTCCAGGGATGGAGCCTGGGGTTTTGTGATCAGAGGTGAAAATGGACGGGGAGTGCTAGCTGGATCAGGGCGTTTGCCGATGGTTTCAGACGCACATGGCAGAGCAGAGGCTTGTTTAGCTGCACTTGAAGCTGCAATAGATCATGGCATTTCCCAGGTGATTAATGAATCGGATTGTCTCAATCTTGTTTCTGCTCTCAAAACTGATGAGTTTGACAGAAGTTCTGGAGGTATCGTTTTCAGGGAATTACGTCTTATTTTGTCTATATATTTCGTAGTAATGGATATCAGGCATGTCCATCGATCTTGTAATGCCTGTGCGGATGCACTTGCTCACATGTGTTTGGATAGGGACCCGGAACAACCAAATGTTTGGTCTGTTCCCCTCCCAGAATTTGTGAACATTTTGGTAGATGGTGATTCCACTGATCGCCATGTTATCTGAATAAAGTGAGCGTACTTCTATCAAAAAAAAAATCGGGATGGTTGGAAGTCGCTCGATTTACTTCCACTTATGCTAATTATGCCACCGCTTCATCCAGGTACATGCCATTAAATACCTTCCTAGTATACCAAAACATACAGGAAATCAGGACCCCTGCCATTTTTAAAATTCGAATACATGAATCCCTGAATTCAATCTACCTACACAAATTTTTGACAGGTACATCTTTCCACCCCAATCTGTCAAGTTCAGGAAGGGAATGTATCAATCGCATGAACAAGAACAACCCATGTCATCTTCTGCCCCTTCCCAAGTTCCAAACCCTTCAATACGACCCCAACATCCATCCACCAAACCTTCTCCTCCGCGAGTTCCACGACTTCTTCCATGGGTTTCCACTCCACCACGAGACAAGAATTCTGTCCTCCTCAGATCCCAGATCCAGCTGACTGAACAAGGCCAAAGCACCGAGCCGGCGAGCCCGCCGCACAGTAGCTGCAGCAACACGACGCAGGAAACCAGCGGGGCAAGGCAACCAAAGCCAACAGCCAAGCAAGGCATCCGCTCCGCTCCGCTGCCCCCTCACGCCGGCCGCGCCCTCCCTCCCCCAAAAATCCCCACCCCAAAATTCCAAAACTCAAACCCTCCTCTGCTGCTATCCGTCCATGTCGTCCCGCTACCTCGTGCCGCCGCCGGGGGCCGCCGACCGGGCGGGGGGCGACGCCGGGGACGCGGCCCTCGCGCGCGACATCGTCACGCTCCACAAGGCGCTCTCCCTTGACCACTCCGCCTCCTCCCGCCGCCGCCGCTCGCTCCCGCTCCCCGCCCCGTCCGTCGCCAACCAGGCCCGCCACAAGCCCAGGCTGAAGCCTTCCTCCTCCACGCGCAAGCTCCTGCCGTCCGCCTCATCGTCCTCCTCCTCCTCGGCAGCGGCGGCGGCGTCCACCTCCTCGAGCTCGTCCTTCTGGAAGAAGTCTCTGACGGCCATCTCGCACCTAGGGCGGCGCCGCCTCGACTGCGCGTTCGCCCTCCACGTGCACTCGGTGGACGGCCTCCCCGCCGCGCTCGATGGCTCCCCGATCTCCGTCCACTTCCGCCGGATGTCCCTGTGCGCGTCCACCCGCCCCGTCGCGGCCGCCCTCGGCGCCGCCTCGTTCGAGGAGGTGTTGACGCAGCGCTCGCCCGTCTACTTCTCCCGCGGCGCCAAGGCCGCGGTCAAGTATGAGCCCCGACCGTTCGTCGTCGTCGCCGCCACCTCGGCGCTCGAGCTGGGGAAGCACGAGGTTGACCTCACCCGATTGCTCCCACTCTCCTTCGACGATCTCGAGGAGGGCGGCGGCTCCGGGTTCGGGAAGTGGAGCACGAGCTTCCGGCTGTCCGGCCCCGCCCGCGGCGCGCGGCTCAATGTTACCTTCTCGTGCTCGCTGGTAGGCGCCCCCGGGGAGCAGCAGAAGGGAGGTGAAGTGGCGGGGCTGAGGCGTGGCTCGATGGCGCGACAGGTGTCAGTGCAGACCCCTACACCAGTGCCGGCACGGAGCCGGGATGTGAGAGTGTTACACGAGGTGTTGCCAAGCGGGAGGACTGTGAAGGCTCTGCCGTTTTTTGGTGATGCAGGGCTCGATGTGAGGAAGGAGGAGGTGCCAACAGTAGAATCTGAGGAGAATGAGTCGCCACAATCGAAGCATTGCACATCCGTGGAGGTGATAAATGTGGACTTGGCACAGCCAGAGGGCGATTGTGATGCTGCAGAGTTCAGTGTGATCGAACAGGGAGTTGAGATTGCCCTTGAGGATCCAGAACAGCTAAAATCTGTGGGGACTGATAATGTAGCTGATGGAAATGAGGACTTTAGGGATGAAGTTGGAGAAAATGAGGGAGAGGCCAAGGCTGTGTCAGTAGGTGATGCCTGTGCTGAGGAGAGTGTTGGAGGGAAGCCAGAAGAGGTGTTCAGTGATGTTTGTTTTGAAAGCGAGGATGCGGGAGAGAAGAAGGATTCAATGGTCAAAGCGGTTTCATTGCCTACCGTAGAATTGGATGGGGAGGATCAGCTGGATGCAGAATTGGAAGATCTGGGGTGTCTAATCAATAGCCTCTCTGTGGTCGAGCCAGAACAATTTGACTCACCAATTGTAGAAGGTAAACGTTCTAGGCGGTTGAGCTGTGTGGGTGTGACAGAAGGCTGTAATTCTGCTAGTAGGATGATCAGATCACGCAGCATGGATGCCTCATCCGATTTTGTTGCTAGTGAGTTTTTGAATATGCTTGGGATAGAGCATAGTCCATTGGGAGCAACCTCAGGTAGTGATTCGGAGTCACCAAGAGAGCGGCTTTGGAAGCAGTTTGAAAAGGAAGCTCTAGCATCTGGGAATGGTATTCTTGGTTTGGACTTTGAAGATGAAGCGGAAGAACTTAGTTATGAAGATGATGCGGAAGAACCCAGGTGTGAAGATGTTGCACATGATTTTGATCTCTCTACAATCATACGTGAAGCAGAACTTGAGCTTCAGAACGCGATTCAGCCCATAGATACCAGATTTCGAGCTAAATCACTGGAAGATGAAGAAACTGAAGCCTTGATGCGGCAATTTGGGTTAAATGAGAAGTCTTTCCAATCTTCTCCACCCGGAAGTAGAAGTGGGTTTGGTAGCCCCATTGACCTTCCACCTGAATCACCCATTGAGCTACCACCTTTGGCCGATGGCTTGGGTCCATTTGTTCAGACAAAAGATGGAGGATTTCTGCGCTCGATGAATCCAGTCCTGTTCAAAAATGCGAAAAACAATTGCAGCTTGGTCATGCAGGCTTCTTCACCAATTGTACTACCAGCAGAGATGGGCTCTGGGATTATGGAGATTCTGCATGGTCTGGCCTCAGTTGGAATCGAAAAGTTATCAATGCAAGCAAATAAACTTATGCCCTTAGAAGATGTCAATGGCAAAATGATGCAGCAGATTGCTTGGGAGGCTTCTCCAGCTTTAGAGTCTTCTGAAAGGTCGGCCTTTCTTGCTATATATTTTCTGCCGTTTATCTACTTCATCTTATTTCATTTATTAAAGTTTCTCCTCTTTACCAATTCAGATATGACCTATTGGATAATCATACCATGGATGCTTTAGCTGGAGGGATTGGCAATGCTACCTTTGGCAAGAGTAAGAAAGGGAGATGTACTGATCTGTCATCATCATTAGGTAGGGAAAGCACTTCAGAATATGTTTCACTTGAGGATCTTGCACCATTAGCCATGGAAAAGATTGAAGCCCTTTCCATTGAGGGTCTGAGGATACAATCTGGCATGTCAGAAGAGGATGCACCCTCCAATATCAGTGCCCAGCCTATTGGGGAATTTTCCTCTCTGCAAGGAAAATGTGCAGGGAATACCCTCTCCCTTGGTTTAGAAGGAACCGCAGGGTTACAACTCCTGGATGTCAAACAAAGTGGTGGTGATGTCGATGGACTAATGGGGTTGTCAATCACTCTTGATGAGTGGATGAGGCTTGATTCTGGCATAGTAGATGAAGATGAGCAGTTCACTGACCGGACGTCAAAGATACTTGCTGCTCACCATGCCAAATCAATGGAATTAGTTGCTGAAAACCAGAATGTGGACAAAAAGAACAGGAGGTCTGGTAGAAGATGGGGTTTGCTAGGGAACAACTTCACTGTTGCTCTCATGGTTCAACTGCGTGACCCACTACGTAACTATGAGCCAGTTGGCACGCCGATGCTTGCTTTAATTCAAGTGGAAAGGGTCTTCGTTCCCCCAAAGCCTAAGATATACAGTACTGTCACAGATAAAGGTAACAGTGAGCATGATGATGAGGAGCCCAAGACTGAAGAGGTACTAGAAAAAGCTTTGGTCAAGGAAGAAAAGATTGAGGAAGAAGAAGATTCTGTTCCACAATTTAAAGTCGCAGAAGTGCATGTAGCTGGTTTCAAGAGCGAGCCTGAGAAGACAAAATCATGGGGTAATCAAACACAGCAACAATCGGGATCAAGATGGCTGCTTGCAGCTGGCATGGGTAAGGGCAATAAGCATCCCCTGATGAAATCCAAAGCTATTGCGAAGCCAACTAAAGAGGCAGCTGGTCAGTCAGAAGACACCCTTTGGAGCATTTCTTCACGCGTACATGGAGCTGGAACCAGATGGGGCGAATTAGCTGGACCTAAAAGGAACCCAAATATCCTCCTTCAAAAAGAAAAGCGATTTAGGTGATGGCTTGGCAATTATCAGTATTTAGCTCTTGTGATTTGCTGTCTTGGATGAATCTGTTCAGGGAAGAGTCTATTTATCTGGAACTTTGTCCTCACTGGAATACTTCTAGTGGACTGTTAATGTAAATGTAGTTCCTTTTTCTTGATACACCTTGAACCATCCAGGTACATGCACATGCTTCCGATCGGTTGTGCTCCTTTTCTCCTTGTACTTGGCTGTACTGAGAAACTGGTATTTCTCCTTTTCTTGTTACAATTGAAATAGTGGCTTTTTGCCTGTGAAGGCGCAATAGCAATACAGCCTTCTCATGTATGTAGTGGTTCTAGCATTCATTTGGCCAGTCTTTTAACGGATTTTATACCCATTTCTGTCATGTTTGCTGTCATAACACTGGTTATGCAGTTCTATTTTCAGATAACTACAGTAATGTATTCTATGGCAATATGTTCAGATAAATTCCAGGAGAATAGTTCTTGTCATCCTGTGGAAAATGTAGACTATCTCATCAATTAAACATGCTATATATTTAGATGAAGGCACTAAATACTCTTTAACTGGGGAATGCAAACATCATCTCCCCCGTGCTGATGGAACGATTGGCAGCGCTGTCGCGATTGATTTTTGAGCGGGTAATAACTAATAAGAGCAAGGCTAATAATACAGCCGACCTGCTGGCTATAAGGTTCTTTATAGCCTTCTCTCAGCCTACCCATATAATAATTAACTATTCACAATTAATACAGGATCCACTTGTCTCTCTCACAAAGTTTTTTGGTTCTTGTGTCCAAGCTAACTGTTACTTTATAGCCCGCTTCTTCTCTCTCTCCTCTCTTCTTTCTTCCAACTCAGTATTTAGCCGGTTTATAGCCTACTATTATACTTGCTCTAAGCGCAGTGGTAAGACCCTGTGGATGTAATGATTCGCTGAGGGCGCCCATGATGTCCCAAATCTCGGTCAGTTACGATGGGCAACGCTTTGTTTAAGGAACTTGTACACACAGCTGAGTTGGGGAAAATGAAAGCCAGAAGGGGTCTCTGGCGCATTGTGCGTCTCAGGAGACAATGCACAAGAGTCATTGCACATCTGCACATGGGGAAGAGAAATCCATGGAATCTCGCCCTGTGAACGATTGGTCATGGGCCATCCAAAGCTAATTGTAGGATGCATTAGCGATGATGGAATGGACCCCTCCTCCAAAACTTGGGTTTAACATGGAGCCATATGAAGCAGCGGAAAAGACCTTGCTGACCAGCCGGCAGTACACGTAGATAATCAGCGTGTTTTTTACTGGGCTAGAGGTGGTCCCTATGGCTAATTTGATCAATTTGGAATTGGGATCCACTCCAGTACTGCGCACTGCATGTGGGTCCGAGTGTCTATGGGGTCCACATGTTCGTGATGCAGTACTCCATACCACCAGCATCCTAATTTGATACATTTGAACTTAATTTGCTGTATTTGAAATGGTATTTGGCACTAACATGTACTACCGTTCAGCCAGATATTTTACAGGTTCCGATTTTCTGAAACCATGAAGTGGAACGCACCTAAGAATATTTCTTCAGGTTGGGAAAATCACAGCTGCGACTTTCCGAATCCTGAAAACGTCAAGAAAATTATTTCTTTTTAGAGTCTTGTTGAGAACTTCAGATTGTATTCTGTTTTTACGATTTCAGAAAAACAAAAATAAAACGTTTTCTTATATAATCCTTGTAGGTTGAAATGGACGGCACGCCACATTACCGCGGTGGTTGCGCATCACCGCCATCATTCATTCGTCGTGGTAGGTTGATTTCTTACCTTCTGCATCCACCTTTTTCCGCTGTTCATACTTAGCAGTAGCAGCAAGTACGAATCACTAGCAGATAGATTTGAATGAACAAGATACTTAAGTAAGAATCACGAGTACAACTTTCTGTTATCTGTTCCATACCCGTGACAAATCTCTATTATTTGCTACTGAAACAGTACATTCCTCTGCTTGTTTTATACTACTCCAAAGAAAGTCGTTGCGTCCGTGCGTGCGTGCTTGTGCGCACGTTCTGGTAATAAACATGTCGCTGATCTTGTTGATACCTGGAGATGGCATGACGGCGTGTATCATTTTCTTTAGATTTCGATCAGAGCTCAGAGTTGAACAGAGGAATGTGCTGATGATCATGATGCCGTCTCAGGATTTCCTTAGCTGGCAAGGCGTACGTACGTACCAGCACGATCGGTCTCTGGCGTTGATTGATGGGTACCCAACTGCCTTTTGCGAGCTGGAAATCATTAGTACTAACCGGAGTCTCTCAATAGCAAACAGGTCATTAAGAATCTGAATCGATGATTTGTACAGTTATGTGCAATAGATCACCAGTCTTCAATTTTCTTCACTTTGCCACATTGGGGTCCATGGCAATCGGAACACTAGTAGTAGCTACAGTTGATCAATGCTCGGAGATGAGTAGATCTTGCTTACGTTGCGTCTGATAGGATAGTTCTTCCAGTTGTTGCAAGCAACGGGCCTGCCGGTCTTAGGCAGCGTTCGAGATGAAGAGAGAGTGAGTATGTTTGTTTCGTTTTCCGCGCGCACGTTTCCCAAACTACTAAACGGTGCGTTTTTTTAAAAAAATTTCTATATGAAAGTTGCTTTAAAAAATTATATTAATCCATTTTTAAAATTTAAAATAGTTAATACTCAATTAATCATGAGCTAATAGCTCACCTCGTTTTATGTATTCTTCCCAATCTCCTCAATCCCCTTCTCCTCAAACATAGTCATGCACCTTTTCCATTGAAGCGTTCTCTGTTTTTGAACAGAACATGATGATTTGGGGGATGGGCTAGCTCAACATATATTCCGTAGGAAACTGGTACAGAGATTTTCCTCCTCATATTTTAATATGTCTCAGAAACACGCTGCAGAATAACACAATGAATAAGTTGATCTGCTGTATCTTCGCATGACTGCTAGTATGATACAACTGCGTGTTACCCAAAAGAAGGACTGTTCGACCCCAGCTGGTCAGCCAGGCGTCAGCTACGCTGTAATTTTCGCTTGGACCAGAGGCGTGAAGCTAGCTAACAAAATGTTGCTTTCATGGAACTTAACTATCGAGCAGTCGTGGCATCACAGAGTTCTACACAAAAGCAGCTGAGTACCTCACCTGCATCTGAATAAAAGTTACTCCTATATTAGCAGTTATACCAAGTCTCTGCACGAGTACGAAACTAGCTATACGGACGAGAGAAAAAGCACAAGCTGCTCACGTGATCGATCGATGGATCGCTTCGGTTGGAAGAGTACCGATCGAGTACGTGTACCATTCGACTCTATTAACGTAGATGTACGTAGTGATGTTGACGTACTACGACGGATGAATTGCAATTGCATGCACGGCGTACGTACGTAAAACGTAACAGCAGTTGGGTGGTTAACATGAAGCTCCGATCGATCCTGGAGTACATGGAGCTGGTGGTAGTAGACTAGCAGTGTCGTGCACTTTTTCCGCTGTGGCAAGTGTGCGTGCTTCGCCGAAAGCTATCGAGTTTTCCCTTTTTTTTCTCTATGGATCGCCCAATGACGACACGCTGCCTAACTGTCGGCCAGGTGGCTCCCACGCCCTCCTCCCGCCCGGCTGTCTGTCTGTCTCTCCCCGCACATGTCAGCCTACTAACCCACCTGCCAAATCGCCCCCCCTGGTGTAAACGCTTTTTTTTCCACGAGCAAACACGATCAAAATCGAGGGTTTACCTGCGCTAACCCAAGCTCTGGTCGCGCATCCCGGTTCGGAATCCGCTGCCGCCACCTTTCCCCCACCACCCGCCCGGTCGCCGTCGCGCTCGCGCACCTCGGCTTTTAACCCTCGCCGCGCACCGGCCGCCACCTTCCTCTCTCTCTCTCTCTCTCTTTCCCTCGCCTTTCGCCCACCGGCCTCTTTTGGAAAATGTCGCACCACGCGGGCGAGGTGAGGTGGTGACCCGACCGCACGTTGGTGGTGGCCCGGCGGGCGGGCGGGGCGGGGCGGACGAACGGAACAGTTCCGCCTCGCGTCGCGCACCGAGATTGATTGATTGGTTATTCGCCATTTTTTTTTGGTTGCCTAGGGGAGTCGAGTCTGGTTGGCTTCCCACCACCACCACCACCACCACCTCCTCTCCTCTTCTCTCCAGGCGCGCCGCTGTGCCCCTGTGCTCACCTCTCGTCGCGGTCGCCCTCGACGGTTCCACCACCCGCGGACCCCGCTCGCCGCCGCCGCAGCCGTGCGCGGATCGCGACGACGCGAGGCGATCGGCGAGCGGCCCGGGGGAGGGGAGGAGATCGCCCGTCGGCGCCCCCCCGGCCCCGCCGAGCCGCGTCTCCTCCCGTCCGATCGCGGGGCTTCCTGGGGCTTCAGTGTGCGCCACTTCTCTCGGGACGGGACGGGACGGGCGCGATTGCGGCAGATGAGACATGGTTCGTGTCTGCTCTAAGCCTCTTTCTTACTTGTCGATGCTTCCTGTTTTTGTTTTTGGTTCCCCGGTGCGCGATGCGATGTGCTGCTCGTGTCGGCGTGCGGTTTTGTCTACTTCTGTTGCGCTTTTGCTTTTTGGCTGGGTTTGGGGGATAATTTGTGTGGTTTTGGAGCGAGCTCGTGTTTGGGAGCACAGGGAAAGTTAAGTGGATTGTAGTTGCCCTTTTGCGGAATTTGGGATATTCCATTTACTCTGCGTATGAATTCATTGGGTTCTTCTAGAAAGCATGTTGGATAAACTAAATCCTAGGAACTAAACAGTAGCAATAAGTAGCTCTTTTGTGGTTTTTAGCACTTTGCGGGAATCACCAATGATATGTCAGGATGCGCTCTAGCTGAATATCTAGCCATTTCACTTGCATCCGAACTCAGTTGAACTTGTTTGCTAGATATGTGACATATGGATTGGAGTTCAGTCTTGTATGAGAGATTAGCTAAACTCTGGAGGAAACTTTTTCGCTTTTGGTATAGTTTTTTTTTTTAGAAGGAACGCTTCTGGTATAGTTTAATGGAATGAAGGCAGATCGCATGAATTACCAACCGTATAAGCTCTGGGTGAAATTCATCTGTTGATCATATGTTAAAATTGATATATACTGTAAACTAGAATCATGTATGTACCTTATGAACTATGTGGGATGATTTTAAATGTATGCAAAGTAGTAAAATTGAGACAAATTTTTACTCAATACAAAAGCAGAACTAAATGCTATATCATCTTCTGACAATACATTAATCTAATGCAAATATATAGCCAGATGTTAAATTTCAAATCACAATGTATAGCCTACCCATTTGCATGTCATTTCAGTTTGTTTGATACTCTTATTTTTTTGCTTGGCACAAATGCAGGCTTCTATGTTAAACATTGTTATAGGCTCTCATGTCTGGGTGGAAGATAAAGATTCAGCTTGGGTTGATGGTGAGGTCTTCCGGATTGATGGTAAAAATGCCCATGTTCGCACAACCAAGGGAAAGACGGTATGCTTTGAGTTGTAATTTTGTATTATATTACTATGAATTTTGAGTCGTAATGGCTTTTGAGTTCAATTTTTTGTTCCAGAGAGTTTACGACTTCAGTTTTTCTGCATGTCTGCCACTTTCTAGTTTTTGACTAAGCAAGTATTGACTGCTGTGTTCATTTAGAGGAAAATAGTTAGCAGAAAAATCATTTGTAGGAAACTTACAGCCCCATGGTAATAAGTTGTATCAAAAAGGCTAGTGAGGTGTTTGAACCATCTAACAATACTTTAACATCTAAGATTTGTGGTATCTCTTTCTAAAATCATCCAAAGCAGTTGATGTCTAACTCCCATTGCACATTTTGTAGCCTCTCAGAGCAGCAAAATACATTAGCTAGTGTGGTTTAATTTGTGGCTTTCATTTAGCTCTACCTGTGTATAACTGATTCGAGAAAATCGACTACAATGAGTGTATATTGATGTCAATGATGTGCTTGATAAGACTTTTATAAGTATGACATTATCTACGGTACTCAGTTTCTATAGCATGTTGTTTTTTGTATGTAAATGGTAATTGTTATTTTTTGCCTCTAGGTTATTGCAAATGTATCAGATATACATCCTAAAGACACAGAAGCACCACCTGATGGAGTCGATGACATGACAAGGTTATCATACTTGCACGAGCCTGGTGTTTTAGATAATCTGGCTGTCAGATATGCAAGAAATCTAATCTATGTGAGTGATCATTTCATTGTAATGTCAAAAGAACAACCATTAACACTAGTCCATTGTTTTTCCCCTAATGATATTCTCTTGAGTTCCAGACCTATACCGGCAATATCCTGATTGCCATAAATCCGTTCCAAAGGCTGCCTAATCTTGTTGATGTCCGAACTATGGAAAAATACAAAGGTGCAAACCTTGGGGATCTAGATCCTCATGTATTTGCAATAGCTGATGTCTCTTACAGGTGAATTTTTATAGTACTAGCACCTCATCTTATTACTGACCTAAGTGTGGAAGTGCTCCTCCTATATTGATGAAACCATTTTGCGTTTGTCTGAATAAGGAAACAGGCAAATGATGAATGAAGGAAGGAACAATTCCATTTTGGTCAGTGGTGAAAGTGGAGCTGGTAAGACTGAAACGACGAAACTGCTGATGAGATATCTTGCATATTTGGGTGGGCGGTCTGGAACAGGAGGAAGGACGGTTGAACAGCAGGTTTTAGAAGTAAGTTGGAAAGATTCCTATGTTTTTAACACATCTTTCTGATATCACTGGAGTTCCATTAGTTCAAAAGATATAGTGTTTTCTAATGTATCAATTTCCTTATTTTTCTTTGCTGTTTTTCTTTCTCACTTGTGTTTTGGATCCAGTCAAACCCAGTCCTTGAAGCTTTTGGGAATGCAAAAACTGTTCGGAACAACAATTCAAGGTATGCATATCATAACATGGAAATAAGAAGATAGTGAAATCTATACTGTTTGCAGCTTTAGAGTTCAGAGTAACACAAACAAAGTGGTAGTACAGTTGTGTTGTATACATCATAATCAAAGGTGTGAAGGAGCAGCAGAGTTTATTATGGTATCACTTGCGGAATAACTGTGTGTTGCTAAAAATAAACATGCTACAAAAGCAAAAATTACTATTCTGTGAACGTATTCTGATCATTAGCGCTTCACTGGCATGATCCTGTATAGATTATTTCAGGAAGGTCTTGATCTTACAATATGAAATGTTTTTTGTTTCGAAGTAAAGTCTCGATAAAATAATTTGGACCGTAGCTTTCACATATGTAGAACCTTGAGGCATGGAACTTGGTTGGTCATATGGTATTGCAATTATGTACTGAGTACAAAGTTAAGCTAGAACTGAGTGTAGCTGGAAAATGGTATTGCAGGCTATAGAAAATGATTTTAGCTTGTGGAGTTTAGCTGGAGGCCTGGAGCTTACGCTCTCCAAGAGCTTCTCTGTAGGTCGCTTACCCCGGGCAATTAGTTTGTGTTTGCTTGTTCTGGTCGTGTGTCAACCTTAGGTGTTGTGTGTGTGGGCGTGTTCTTGGGTGTGTGTCAGTTTAGCCCCCTCATTTTGTATTTAGTTTCTTTCTTCTTAATGAAATGAAACGCAGTCCTGCATTTTCGAGAAAACAAAGTTAGGTTAGAACTTAGAACTCTCTTGAAAGAAAAAACAAAAGTTCAATGGCTGCTAATGTTAGTATTTTGCCAAATATTTGAACTGGTCCCACCTGCTAGATTCAAGCAACCATTTTGCTTTTCAAGAAGATTACCAATGCAAATCGTTTTGGCTCTGATCGCGTATGGGTCAGCAGGCCATGAAGGATAAACATATAACTATTTTAGCCTCTCAATATCTAAGATCAAAACTAACTGGTTCTATTTTGTATTCACGACATTTAGCTCACACAGACAGTAAAATAATCAAATATTAACTTTAGTAGTTCATTCCCTCATTCTTGTTCATACTACGATTATGTGATACTTACATGGATGTTAATTTTTCTTAACATACTGAAGTCGATTTGGTAAGTTCGTTGAAATCCAATTTGACAAGAGTGGGAAGATATCTGGCGCTGCTATTAGAACTTACTTGCTTGAGAGATCTCGAGTCTGCCAAATCAATAGTCCAGAGCGAAACTACCATTGCTTTTACTTCCTCTGTGCTGCGCCACCAGAGGTACTTTTTTTCCCTGTTTGTGGTCTCAGTTTGCATGTAGAATCTTTCTTTTCAACCTGTTACATGTGCTACTTTTTATGCCAAAATTGTGGTTGCAGGATATAAAAAGGTATAAGCTGGGGGATCCATCTTCATTTCATTACCTCAATCAGTCGTCTTGCATTAGAGTTGATGGTATCAACGATGCTGAAGAGTATCTTGTAACTAGAAATGCTATGGATACAGTTGGCATCATTGAGCAAGAACAGGTTTTAAAATCTGCCCCCTTAAAGTATTGAATTGTTTTACTGGGGATGCATTTTATCAAACGACATTTTCTTTTACAGGAAGCTATATTCCGGGTTGTTGCTGCTGTGCTGCATCTTGGAAATATTAATTTTGCAAAGGGGAGTGAGGTAGATTCATCTGTTATAAAGGATGACAAATCTAGATTCCATCTTAATACAGCCGCAGAGCTCTTGATGTATGCCTGACGTTTTAAGTTCTTCACTTCTCTTTGTAATTTTAGTGCCATCTTTCCAATATTTAAATATTTACAATCTACAATACATTGTGAAATGCTTATTACAGGTGTGACTGCAAGAAGTTGGAGAATGCCTTGATAAAAAGGGAAATAAATACACCAGAAGGAGTGATTACTACTACAGTTGGTCCTAGTTCTGCTACTGTTAGCAGGGATGGCTTAGCAAAACAAATATACTCTCGATTATTTGACTGGTAATAGAGTTGACTAGGGACAACTCATTCCATACTTTTTATGCGCATATCCTTTCTAAGTATGTACAGTTGTACTATTGCAGGCTTGTAAATAGAATTAATGCATCGATTGGGCAAGACCCAAATTCGGACAAATTGATTGGGGTACTTGACATATATGGCTTTGAAAGTTTTAAAACTAACAGGTAACTAGCTAGGTGCAGAAAGAATAGTTAATTTATGCTATCGAAGACACTATATGAGTTTGCTAAGTCCTTCTATTGTATTCTGCTGCTATACAGTTTTGAGCAATTATGTATCAATTTCACAAATGAAAAACTTCAGCAACATTTTAACCAGGTACCTGTACAACTCATCATATTAGTAGACTGTTATTCTCTTGCTTCCTGTGCCAAGCAACCATGGATGCTTGTTTTTGCAGAATGTATTCAAAATGGAGCAGGAGGAGTATACAAGGGAGCAGATTAACTGGAGTTACATAGAGTTTGTAGATAACCAAGATGTACTTGATTTGATCGAGAAGGTATTGGTTAACTACGCTGTTGTAATTTGTTTTCCCCAAGTGCTAATGCAGTTAGGTCCTGTTATGATCCGCAGATCACAATGAGTAAACCCAGACTATAGCTGGGTGGAATCGACAGTTTGTGGGGAGAGGGAAAACCGGAGTGTGGGAAGAACCTGTGTGTTTCTTTGCTAAACCTCTTAATTTTGGGACAGAGGAAGTAGATGGCAGCTCCTTTATGAAGCTAAGTAACCAATAGATAAGATACACGGCTTATGAAGCTAACAATAATTTTACTGCAACAGATAAGATAGATGACCAAGTAACATGTTAATCCTCAACTTAGCTAGACAATGTTCTACTGTGTCAGATACATAGGCCCATATTATGCAGTTGTGTAACCCTGAGATGCCTATAGAAACTGTGCTGTTGCCATGTGCTAACAGTTGCTGCCTCCCATGTCCAGCTGAATGCCTTTTTGGTATCAATCCATAACGACCAAAGTTGAATCGCGAGCCTGAAGCATATTCAATGAAACCACAAACTGGTATCATATAGAAGGGCCCATAAACAGTCTTGACCAATTCGGGCTTATTCACTGAAATACTATAAACCCCTTTTCCTTTCTTAATGACTTCGCTCTTCACTTACTTCATATCCAACTATTGATAGCTGGTGTAGTTTCAAAGGATACCCAGGGAGCTAGGGGAAAAATAAGCAAAAGCCTATCTATATGGATTGCTTGAGCTTTTTCATCTGCTCAAGTAAAAGACTAGCCAAGCTCAAGCCACAGACTTTGGGCCTGAAGCTGACTTCGGTGGATGTGCTAACTTGAATAGGATCCATATTCTGGGATTGTACCTTTTACCTGTAGGAGCAGCAATAGTGATTAGTGATATAAACTGATTTCAGCACGATTTTTTAGACAAAATCTCATAATGAATTTGAAGATTGATTTGACTTAAGGCCTCAGTATTTTTAGACAAAGTTCCATATTATACACCAATATTATGCCAATCTTATCTTCCTTTGAGTTGATCAGTATTTGTTGGAGTATAAGTGAATTGTATGTCTTTCCTCATCAGCTTAAGCTTTTGGATTGAACTGGTTGGTGCCAGAGCTAGAGTTCTCGAGTTCGAATCCAGGCTGGCACGCAATCAAATAAAAAATTGCAGCCACTTCTATTCCACGCTTGGGGCTTGCGGGAGGGGAGTGTTGGAGTACAAGTGAATTGTCTGCCTTTCCTCATCAGCTTAAGCTTTGGGGTTGAACTGGTCGGTGCATGCAATTCAATAGTATCGAATAAAACCAACGTAAGCTATGGGAAAACATTGGTCTACCTGATCTTGAGCTTCTTTAAACCAGTAGATGATACCATACTTAATTGCTACAGTGCCTTCCACAGATGATTGTAGTTTCAAAACACGTCTATGTTCCTGTTGTACATTACCACCACCTTTTTTTTTATCTTTTATGTTCTAATATTTAGTTATCACGTTTCTGTGTCCAGAAACCAGGTGGCATTATTGCACTTCTTGATGAAGCTTGGTAAGTTCCCATTTTTCCTTTGTTTTTCACTGCATGTTCCAATTTTACTGGGACATATTAAGAAAAAAAAGTCTACATATGTGTATTACTACGCTGATGCATGCCTTATGTAGAGAAGTGGATTTTGATCAATTGTTTAGTTAGGAACAATATATGTTATGTGGATTGCCAGATCCTATTTTTCATAATATGCTGAAGTGGACACCTGATGTTCATTCCCAAGCAACACATGTCATTCTTGTTTTTACTTAGGGGTGTGCATTTTTTGCACCGCATGACATTTCTAATGTCTCTGATATTTTTTTCTTTTATTGTCTATATCAACCAGCATGTTCCCAAAGTCGACACACGAGACATTTTCCCAGAAGCTGTACGAAAAGTTCAAGAATCACAAAAGATTTACCAAACCAAAACTTTCTCGTACTGCGTTTACTATCCAACATTATGCTGGAGATGTAAGCATTTTCAGTGTACTGCTCTTATCTTTATTCATAAATTTGTCTGAGAATGTCACACTTTTTAAATATATCTCCAGGTGATATATCAATCTGATCATTTTCTGGACAAAAACAAAGATTACGTGGTAGCAGAGCATCAGGAATTACTGAATGCTTCCAGATGCTCTTTTGTGTCTGCATTGTTCCCCCCGGCATCAGAAGAGAACACAAAATCATCAAAGTCCTCAATTGCCACTCGCTTTAAGGTAACTCTCTGCTATATTAGACTTGTTTATTATGTCACTATTTTATACTATGTGGGTTATGAATTCAACTTTTGTTTCCTACTAATGGTAGAAACTTAAATATGTTTAGTGGACCCTTACATAGCTTGTAATCTGAGCTTATTATTTTTCCATGCCATGTTATTAGACCGATGTCACATCACCAAACTAGTGATATGAATTAAATGTCATGGGAGAATCTCGCTATTTTTTAGGTAAAACAGCATGGGAGAATCTCGCTTGCGACACGATATTAGACTAATGTGTTGGCATACTGCATAATCATTACATTTTTTCTGCTACTATGTCCTATGCCAGAGATTCATGGCATGATATAGCAGAAAGGACCTAAGCTGAATCTAAATACGTAGTATATAACTTTAGGGATTTTATTTGACAGATTAGTATAATAACAATTGAAGTTTTTAATAAAGAGTGGGATTGTGGTGTTTACTTTTCTTTAGCTGTGCTTTGATATAGAAACACCTCTCATTTGATTGAGTTTAATTTCCAGGTGCAACTTCATGAACTGATGGAGACGTTGAGCTCTACAGAGCCTCATTACATTAGATGTGTAAAACCAAATAGTGTTCTTAAACCTGCTATATTTGAGAACACGAATGTTCTGCAGCAACTTCGATGTTCGGTAAGTAGATATTATATTTCCTTTTTTGAAATTTCGTGGAGTACAGTTTCATAGTGCCTTCTGATAATTGTTTTTCATCCTTAAGGGTGTTCTTGAAGCGATTAGAATCAGCTGTGCTGGATATCCCACAAGGAAATTATTTCATGATTTTCTTCATCGCTTTCGCATTCTTGCTTCTGAAATTGTGAAAGAGAAGTGAGTATCAATGCCTCAACAATTTAGTGTCTTCATTTTGTCTAATAAATTTTACCCTTTCATTTCTGGTTTGTATTAATAAATGGTCCACATGCTTTTCTGTAGAAATGATGAAAAGGTCACCTGCCAAAAGGTTTTGGATAAAATGGGGCTGCAGGGTTACCAGGTGAAATATGTTTTACTAGCCATCGCATGCATTTATTGTTTGGCTACCATAGGCATGGCCCCATATGGCCATATGACATGTACATCTTCACTAAAATGGCATGTATGCCATGGGAATGTTCTTAATGAGTAGGGACAACTTATATCTTTTAAAGTAGGTGGTTACTGGCCAGATAAACATTGTCTGAAATGGGTGAGACTTTGCCACTTTGAGAATAAATGCATACATGTTTGCCTTGTGAGTCTAAACAGCATTGAAATAAAAGGATGGTCTGGTTCGGTTTTCAATCGGGTTCTGGGTTAGATTGTGTTCTAAACCAAGAAGTTGAAATTATTTTTGTGTGTATTCCAACAAACTGGGTTGCTGTATGTGGACGACATAAATTATAAAAAAAAATACGAAAAGAATAAAATACTGAGCTCATCAGAAAGGGCTAGAGGTACCTAGGGTGGGTTGAACCACTGAAGTATAGGGTTTGCTTATAGTGGGGTTTGATGTGGTTGGTACCAACTATGGATTTATTGAAGAGACTACCAATGATTTTGGGCCTTGGACTTGGCCCACCACCATTTAGCTGTTCTTTATGAGTTATATTTTTCTCTCTTGATATGATTTAATAGTAGGATTATACTGTTGAAAACATATTAGAAGGTTCTGACTTGACTCCTTGCAAGCAGATGATTCACAACGCATGTTGTCCTTTTGGTTGCTTTTGTTTAGTGTCTAGGAAAATATAATGCTTTGGAAGTTTGCTTAGTTAGTCCTATAGTTGAAAAATTAATTGCAACTTACAGATTGGAAGAACCAAAGTATTCCTGAGAGCTGGTCAGATGGCTGAATTAGATGCTAGAAGAACAGAGGTGCGGAATAATGCAGCAAGAGGTGTTCAGGGTCAGTTTCGTACTCATGTTGCTCGTGAGCAGTTCCTGATACTGCGTAATGCATCTGTTTGCTTGCAATCCTTTGTTAGAGGTAAAGTGCTTTTCAGATGGTATCTGAAAATGTTTTTGTGTAGTATATAGATGGACCTGTATACATATATTGAGAGCTTTTCTTCTGATTGCAGCAAGATTGGCTTGTAAACTGCATGAATGCCTGAGACGAGAAGCAGCAGCAATAAAAATTCAGAAAAATATCCGCTGTTATTTTGCATGGAGAACTTATTCTCAACTGCGTTTGTCAGCCATTACATTGCAGACAGGGTTAAGAACCATGGCAGCTCTCAAGGAATTCATGTTTAGAAAGCAAAACAAGGCTACTACCCATATCCAGGTAGGCTAGCTGTTCTTGTATACACTTCACTGTTACTTTCCTTGTTCAACTGTAGATGGACATCAAGCTCCTGGTTGTATGTGCCATTCATCTTCATTTGCTTATGTTTAGACCATCATTTGGACATGTGTATCTGCAGACCCAGTGGCGTTGCCACAGAGATAACTCTAACTATCTAAAACTGAAGAGAGCAGCATTGACTTATCAATGTGCTTGGAGAAGAAGGGTTGCCAGAAGGGAGCTGAGACAGCTCAGAATGGTAAATGAACACCTTTTGATTTGTAACTGATGGATTTTTTTTCCTTTACTAAAGCAAATTTTCTCATGCACAAATATTCTAGGCTGCAAGAGATACACAAGCTCTTAAGGTGGCAAAAGAGAAATTGGAGGAACGTGTGGAGGAGCTAACAAACCGGTTGGGCCTGGAAAAGAAATTAAGGGTTAATTCCTGGTCTTGAGTACAATTAAATTACTGCAGATATGGTGCAACTGCACTGACTTACGTTGGCACTGCAGGTTGTATCCGTATTGACATAGAAACTATTGGTCATGTATGTGTATTTGATTTGCAGACAGATCTGGAGAAGTCCAAAGTAGCAGAAGTTTCTAAATTGCAGGCCGCTCTTAATGAAATGGAACAGCGAATGCAAGACGTCACAGCAATGCAGGAAAGAGAATCAGCTAAAAAGGCTGTTGAGGAAGCTCTTGAGCAAGAAAGAGAAAAGATCAGTTCATTGACTTCTGAAATCGAAGGACTCAAGGTACATTGAACCACTAGGGAGGGTCTCTATTAACATTTGATAAAATGGTTTACAATAGCAATTTACTGTTGTATATATGTTTATATTAAAAAGAGTCAGCAGTGTACAGTTGTAATTTTTCTACTTCCTCCGTTTCACAATGTAAGTCATTCTAGCATTTCCCACATTCATATTGATGTTAATAAATCTAGATAGGTATATATGTCTAGATTCATTAGCATTAATATGAATGTGGAAAATGCTAGAATGACTTACATTGTGAAACGGAGGGAGTAGAAGCAATCATGATATTTATTTCTGGCCTGTTTTAGCTCATTTAGGCATGGTATGAAATATTTTGATATTCAGTGAGTGCACTATTATGACAGGCGCTTCTAGTAGCAGAACAAGAGGAAAATGATTTAACTAAGAAAGCACATGCTAATGCTCAAGAAAGAAATGAAGAATTGAGCAAGGAAGTCGAGGATGCAGATGGAAAAATCAAGCAGCTTAGCGATACTGTGCAGAGGTTTGTCTTTTTTTCTTAATTGCCTGAGTGTTCAGTATTATTTCTTGTTGATTGTGGAAGCTAAACCAGAAAACAGTTGACTAGAACATGCATTCTCCCAAAATAAAAAGAGCATCATACATAACTCTACATTCTAATGCCTGCACATAACAGACATAGACATGCACGTTCATACATAAGATGGTGCACGCTTTATGTTTCTTGCAGTTCTAGAAACACCTGTGTCACTCGAATTCTCAACTTTAGATCATTTTATTCATTGGATCTCACTGCACCTCCTCCCTCCTAAATACCCCCCTTCCATCTCTTCTAGCCTCCCCAGAAAAGCACTCTTTTATAGTAAATTCCAATAAATCTCCATGTTGTATAAAACCCACAATTTTCTCATTTGGTAGTTAACCACTTCTGACCACTGTAATTTCTGGACATTTTGTTTGACTGGTGCCAGATCTAGAAAGTGTATTTGCTGGTGTATTTCTTTTATAACTACATGTTTTCATTATGAAAATCAGATGCCTCTTTAAATGATTTGAGGGACATTTATGTCAATTCAGAAATTCATGGTATTCTTTTGCTTCCATTGTTCCCTTAGATTCATTTATGTGCAACCGATAGTTTACTGTAATGGGCACATACCATTTCGGCTCTAATAGCATTAAAATGCACTCCCATTCTTTTTCAATACAGACTAGAGGAGACTATACAAGAAAGGGAGGCCCTTTTGCTAGCAGAAAGACAGGAAAAGGAAGAAGCTAGTGCCGTAATAGCTGAATCTCAAGCAAGAAATGAAGCATTTGCAAGCAAGCTTGAAGATGCTGAGAAACAAATCGATCTGCTTCAGGAAACAGTTCAAAGGTTCGTCCTAGAAAGTTCTTGTGAACTGATATTCTATTGTTTGGTCATAAATATCTTTCCATCTTCCTTTACTATGATGTCTGATGGCTTGCAATCTATTTCTATATGTAGATTTGAGGAGGCCATTACAAAATTACAATCTTCAGTGACTATTGAAAAGCAACAACATGAGGAAACTGTGGTACAATTAGCTGAAGCACAAGCTAAAATTGATGAACTTCTGAGAGAAGCTGGGGATACTGATGAAAAATCTACTCAACTTGAGACTACTATACAAAGGTTTTTAGATTCTTTACAAGTTACATGGCCATTGCTCGACATGCATGGAAACTTTTGATCAATCATGAAGTCATTTTCTTTTGCAACCATATGTATTTTACAAAATCTGTTCTACTATCTCAATAACAGTTCTTTCTTCTTTTTGTGAACATAGGCTTGAAGAAAGTTTAACAGAGAAGGATGCTTTATTGACTACAGAAAGGCAAGAAACTGAAGCAACTAAGAAATTACTAAGCGAAGCACAGTATAAAAATGAGGAACTACTCAAAAAAATTGAAGATGCTGATAAAAGCATTGCTCACTATCACGACACCACCCAAAGGTCTGCTGTTTGATGTTTGCATTGACTTATTTTTATATTCTAGGGCAGTTTGTTTCGGATTTATTTTCTACCCGTTTAAATTCTGGTTACTAATTTTGTGCTTTATTAATGATCTTGCTGTTGGAGATCACCTCTATAAGTAAACATTGACGCAGCTGATTATTTGTTCCCCATTGATCAGACTTGAGGAAAATGTGACAGCAGTAGAGAATTCATTGAAAGCTGAGAGACAGCATAATGGTGCAATCATGAAACAACTAGCTGATGCTCAGGTAGAAATTGGGGAGCTACAAAGAAACCTTGAAGATGCTGATAGGAGAAACAATCAGCTTCAAGATTCTTTACAGAGGTTCCTTTCTTACCTTAGATTATGTACTTGATTCGGTATTATCTTGCACCATCAATATTGGTATTTGTCAATATTCTACTACATGCATTTAGTCACATCTAGCATAGGTAAGTATCCTTCTATCAGTGAGGCAGTGTTTGGCTAATGGGATAGGGAAATGATTTCCCACCCACCAAAAGACACTTTTAAATCCTAATCATTCATTCTCCCTCTTCTATTTAATCCTAACCCTTGCTTCATTTCCTAATCCCAATCTCACCCCCCCATTTCCCATTATCCAAACACACCCTGAGTAGCAGCCCTCTGATTGGCGAAACGAGGTGCTTTTGCTCCCAATTAACCACCTTCTCTTAGAAGTTCCGAGACATCATGCAATATGTAAAGCAGTAATGGAATTCTGTTGTAAAAGAATGGACACGGATGAAGGATATATAAGAGCAAGTATAATAGCATGCTATAGGTTAGCTACAGACATATGTGGAGGAGAGAGGAGAGGAGAGGAGAGAGAAGAAAAGCGGGCTAAAGATTTGTAGCCAGCTGCAGCATGGGTTCCAAAATATTGTGTGTGTATGAGAGGTGGGCCAAGTATTAATGGTGCAATATATATTTATATAAAATTATTGTATGGGTAGGCTATTAGAGTGGCTGTAGATAATGTGTCAATTTTTAGAGCTGACAGTTGGCTATACTACTCCCTCTGTCCGCAAATATAAGGTTTTTTGGTTGGATGTGACATATCCTAGTACGACGAATTTGGACAGAGTCTGTCCAAATTTGTTATTGTCGTGGAGCGATCCTCTCTAGCGGGTGGTCGTGAGACCCTTCTTTGTGAGTTCGGCTAGGGGAAATGGCGCGATGATCAAGGGCCTACTTCCGCTTGCGGTCTAATTGCTAGATCGCTCTCGTGGCTGTGTGGGAGCTCAAGGATTATACAGGTTCGGGCCGCTATTGAGCGTAATGCCCTACTCCTGTGTATGGGATTATGGTGAATTTTTACAAGAGGTTTTGAGCTCTAAGGGAAACCTAGCTGTTCTTCCTCCGAGCTCAAGTTCTCTGAGAGTCGTCCCCTTTCTCGGTGGACGAGGTCCTCCTTTTATAGTCCAAGGGGATACCACATACACCGTTTGTACCTACCCCTCCATCGGAGGGGGGGGGCACATGGCCCTAATCATACCGCTATCCTTTGCTTCAACCGGAAGCAACATGGTCGCCTGGCTCCAGGTGGGGCCCAGAAACGCCCCCCGCCTGACACGGGAGACATCCCTGTCATTCCCTATTAATTGTATGAAGACTTCGGCGGCTTACCACGCACGTGGGGCGCCCCTGGCAACGTGCCGATGGGACAGGGCATACCTGCTCCCACTCCGCCTGACACAGGGCGGAACGTGGGGGCACTGCCCCCGTCCCGTCGCCTGTGACCGGTCACAGGCCGGTCAAGCTCGATTGACATGGGTCAATCGAGTGGCGCCGCACGTCTAATGCGGCGTGGGACAGTTGGGGCGCCGCGCATTGAAGGCGCGGAGCAGTGTCTTTCGCCCCGCCCGCTCTCCCCGCCACGTGGTGGTCGGGCGAGGGCCTCGGGGTAGCACGCCCTGAAAGCCCGAGGGGTGCGACGTGGCACCCCGAGGCCCCCTGGCCACCTCAGCGCTACCCAAGGGGCGGGGGGAGGCGAGGCCGTGTAGCCACGCGACTAGATGGGAAGGATACTTCCCTCTACTGTGCGTACCCCCGGGCCCATTTCACCGACAGTTATATTAGGATGTATCACATCCGGGCAAAAGCAATATTTGTGGACAGAGAGAGTATTAAACTTGCTCAAGTGCTATAAGCCTCTAGACCCTGCCTCTAAATTTGCCACATAGGATAAGGTGATGAGGTGGAGGAGAGAAGTTAGAAGAGAGAGGATAAGCCACCCCTCATGCAAGGGGCAACCTCTACACAATCTCCAAGAGAAGTGTAAGATGATGTCAGAGTGAACTAATAAAAGAAAATGATTGGGGTTTGTGTATTAGAGGCGATATGTTGTACTTGCCACCTTTAAATAATGAGTAGATGACATGGCTCAAATTAGATGTAGCATCCACCTTCACTATAAAACTTGCTCTAAAAAACTTGGGAAGTTCTTGACATATCTAAAAGACTTCATCATATTTTTTTCAATTAGGGTCATATGAACTGCTTAATGTGATGACCCTGGTTCCTAGCTTTAAGAAGGGGTTCAGCGTTTTGCTTTCTCAACACTTAGGCTGTGTTCGCTGGAGCTTGTTCCCAACCGGAACAGTGTGCACGGAAAATGGATCGATCCATTAGCGTGTGATTAATTAAGTATTACTACCTCCGTCCCAAAATATAACAACTTTTGGCTATGAATTTGGACACACAGTTGTCCAGATTCATAGCTAAAAATGCTTATATTTTGGGACGGAGGGAGTAGCTAATTTTTTTTCAAAAATGGATCAATATGATTTTTTAAGGGACTTTTGTATAGAAACTTTTTGCAAAAAACGCACCATTTAGCAGTTTGAAAAGCGTGTATGTGGAAAACGAGGGAGATGAGTTGGGAAACCTAGGGTAAGAACACAACCTTAGTCATGCCTTAAGGGATGGCTGGCACAAAAATGAAAAAAAAAAAGAAGAGGATGAGACTGGATATTCTTTAGTTGCAAGAGATCCAGAAAAGGTAGTGCCTCAATAAGGAGTAGCATATATTCTTAAGAAAATTAATCTGCTTCAGGATAAACTGTGCAGACTTGTTTCATTGACAGAAGAGTGTTATTAGTAGCTTGACAGACATGCTCGTTGAATCTAAATCTGCTATACCTTCAATGTAGAAGATTCAAGTATTTGGTTATAGATCATTAATGTTGTTATTAGGTAGTTATGATGCATTTTTTCAATACTTCGTAGACTTGTCGAAGATGCTACCACAAGTGAGGCTTTATTGGTAGCTGAAAGGCAAGAAAATGAAGTGACCAAAAAAACACTAACTGAAGCTCTGGATCAAATTGAGGAATTAGTTAAGGAGGTCGAGTGTGCTAAAAACAGTGTGTATCAGCTTCAAGATAACATCCAAAGGTCCGTTTACTCCAAAATAGAAACCATTGATGAAACCTGTTTGTGTGGCTTTAGTTTTTTACCTTTTTTTTAATCCATGGGCATAGACTTGAACAAAATGCATCTGCAAGAGAGGCAGATCTGCTAACAGAGCGTCAGGAAAAGGAGACAACATCCAAAGCACTAGCAGAGGCGCAAGCAAAGATTGAAGGATTACTGGAGGAAATTTCTTCTGCTAATAAAAAAACCGACCTACTTCAAAAAACTATAGAAAGGTTTGTTGTTTTTTTTTTTCATGGAAGCATTGTTTGTTGCCTAAACTTAGTACCAGGAATTTACTTGCATGTGTTTTCATGTACCTTCAAAACATCCTGATGTATAGATTTTTAAAACAGTAGTTATAGATTTTGTCATGAAGTTTTGTGTGGTGCTCGTCTCTTCCTTATACTTCCTCTTTTGTGGGATGTGATGACTAGTATTATTAAAGAAGTACATTACTTGTAATAGGAATTTTCAGTATTTATCAGCGGATAACCTGCATATTTTTTGGTATGGGGTAGAAGTATAGCTTCGAACATTAGTGTGAATATATGGAGCAGGTGACCTTGTTCACTTGCTCTGTTGAAGGCCTGGTGACCTTCTCACCATCACCTGGAACTTGTTGATAAATGATGTACACATAGGAAAGAAGAATTCAATGTTTCTGAAGTTTTAAAGTGGGTGAATGGAATTAAGCATTATGATATTTGATTTAAGTTGTGCAATCATGAGTGGTTGTAGTTTGAGACTTATCACAGGAGATGCTAAGTAGCTTCCCATTTTGAATGGGTGTAACCTGGAAAACCTTGTGTGGTGTAGCGTCCGGCTTGACTATATATTTTCTCCATCGATTTTATAGATTGCGGCTGTTATAATTTAATCCTGAACATAGGTTAGAAGAGGGGGCAACAACAACAGATGCTCTCTACTTAACAGAAAGACAAGAGCATGATCAAACCAAGAAAGCATTTTCTGAAGCTCAAGAAATAAATCAACAATTATATAGGAAAATTGAAGAAGCTGAGAAAAACATAGAACAGCTTCGGGAAAATGTGGAAAGGTCTGTTTCTCATTATTCTAACTTATTGGTAGCCTATCATAACTAGCAGCAAAGTTCAAGATTTGTGCACTAACTGGTACTAGAGTTCCCCTTTGTGTACTAACATTGATTTCCTTAATTCCATCAAGTATAGACTTGAAAAAGATGCAACAGCAAGAGATTCTTTGCTGCTTATGACAAAGCAAAGCCATGATGACACCATAAAAGAGCTACTTGAAGTTCAGGAGAGAAACCTGGAGTTAATGAACGGAGTAGAGGATTCAAATAAGAAAATTATGCTGCTTGAGGATTCAGTAAAAAGGTTTAGTCTCTTTGCTTTCAAGTATTTGTAAGATTAAAACTAATTATTAGTAATATCTCTCTTGTTTGACCATAGACTTGAAGAAAGAATAGCGTACATAGATTCCTTATTGGCCATAGAAAGACGTGAAAACAACGAGACCAAGAAAGAATTAGCTGATGCTCAGAAAGAGATTGAGGAATTACTGGATGAAATGCAAGACAATGTTGCAAGTATAGCAGAACATGAGGACACAATTAGGAGGTCTGTTATCTCTCATAGGATCAAGTCATGCTTTTCTTACTGACTTAGAGCGCTAGCCTTATATTTTATCTTCAATGACATAACCCTACGCCTTGTTCCCATTTCTTGTGTGGATAGACTAGAGGAAAATGTGGGAGCAAAGGAGTCTTTGTTGCTAACTGAAAGGGAACAGAATGCTTCAACCTTAAAATTGCTTGCTGAAGCACATTTGGAAATTGATGAATTAATAAGGAAACTTGAAGACTCAGATAGAAAATCTGATAGCCTTCAGAGTACCATAAAAAGGTCAGACAGATAGTGCACAATCAGTGCTAGTTGGGATCACATGTGCCAAATTTGACTTCCATGTTTGCAAATGCCATAACTTGTGTTACATTGGTGTTCTTTTATTCACATCCACAGGCTTGAAGAAGATGGGATTGCCAAGGAGGCTTTACTATTAACAGAAAAGCAAGCACATGAGGCAACAAGGATGACTCTCACTGAAGCTTTGGAAAAAAATGAGGAACTCCTCAAGAAAATTCATGATGATGATAAACATATACTTGAGCTTCAGTTTACTATACAGAGGTCCATTATATTTATCTTCAAGTTTTTATTTCAACATATATGCTTATGCTGAGATCCTACTCATTCAATTTTGCAGTTGCTATATTACCTATTATCATTAAACATATGCTATTCCTCAAATATTTTCTTCTGCCAATACAGGCTTGAAGAAAATACAGCTGCAAAAGAGAACTTGTTGTTGAGAGAAAGGGAACAAAATGATGCAACAACAAAGGCTCAGATTGAGAGTCAAGAAAGAAATGAACAATTACTAAAGAGATTTGTGGATGTTGACAGGAAAATTGATCTTCTTCAAGATACCATAGAAAGGTACTTCGCATGGTATTGCTCAATATATTCATTTATGAGATGTTAATGTTTTGTATTTATTTTTTCATCATGATTCAGGATCGGAGAAAATTCAACGATAAAGGATGCTTTGTTGCTATCAGAGAGACAAGAGAAGGATGCAATTAAGAAAGAACTTGTTGAAGCTGGAGAGAGAAATGAAGAGTTAATAATGAAAATTGAAGACACTGATAAAAAAATCGAACATCTTCAGAATGCCATAATCAAGTTTGTACCTCCACTAATTCTTTTTGGATTTACTCTAGACCAATACAAGTTCATACATTCTTTCACACACTGCCAGCTTATGATGTTTTATTTTGGTATTTAATATATTATGAGTTATTTCTGGTTCTCAATTAACTGATCTTGTAATGGCATGCTTGCCAACAAAACAGGCTTGAAGGAGATATAGAAGCAAAAGATATTTCTTTGGAAGCTGCAAGGGAAGAAAACGACACAATCAGGAAATCTCTTGCTGAAGCTCAAGAGAAAAATGAAGAGTTACTCAGGAAAATTAGTGATAATGAATACAGGATCCACCTACTCCAAGACACAGCACAAAAGTTAGTATCTGTATCCTGTATATTTTCTCAAACTTCGGTGTGCTGCTGCTGAGAGGCAGACTACAATAGGATCACCACTAACCATTTATTTTATCTGTTATTTAAGAAATGTTTATTGCTTTACAACACTAATTTCTTATCTGAAACCAGGCTTCAAGTTGATGCCATTTCAAGATTGTCTTCCTTTGTTATGGAAAAACAAGAAAGTGATGCGGCCAAGAGAGCTCTTACTGAAGCTCGTGAAAGAAACGAAGATCTACTGAAGAGAAATGAGGACCTCCTCAAACGGAATGATGACTTGATTAAGAAAATTGAAGAGTCTAGCAAAACTATTACTCAACTTCAAGAGACCTTACAAAGGTGCATATGCAATTTTTATTTCTTATTTTTACCTATTTGTCATGATGGTATCAGGCTCACTCTATCATTGTCAACTTCAATTAAATAACTCTTTTCCATCCTTCCGTAAACAGGTTGGAAGGAAAATCAACGAACTTAGAAGCTGAGAACCAAGTTCTCCGTCAACAAGCAACTGCAACTCCACCATCAACAGCCAAATCTTCAGCTTCACGCTCAAAGATCACTAGGATTCATGTAATGTATCTTTGGTGAACCCGTTTTACATATTCTTTGCAGGATTGTTTGCTGCTGAAAACTGACTGTTTTATGTATTTTAACAGAGAAGCCCAGAGAATGGACATATCTTGAATGGTGACACAAGACAAGCTGAAATAAAGCCCTCAACTGGCACATCAGAAACGATACCTTCAATAGTGAGTTATACCAATTATATGGCTGCATATAATTTATGAACAATGTCTTAAAAATAATTGATCCTGTGACTTTTCACTTGAAAATGCATTATAGGGCAATCCTCCTGACTTGAATAATGAAAAACATGTTGAACAAGGAGAGAAACTACAAAAAGTACTTAATCAGAAATACCAGGTATTCTGCTAGTATTTATGCTGCATATTGAATTGGAGCTTTAAGCCTTGAGCTTATTTTTATAATGATATTATTTTTTTCTAAGTCTCCTCAGAGTCAGCAGCCTCAGGACGATCAGCAGTGGTTACTCACTTGCATTTCACAATATCTTGGATTTTTCGGGAGCAAGCCTGTTGCTGCGCTTCTTATATATCAATGTCTCTCTCATTGGAGATCATTTGAAGCAATGAAGACTGGTGTCTTTGACAGCATCCTACAGGCTATAAATTCAGCAACCGAGGTTCCTAGCACTTAGTTTTTAAATTTTATAGTATCCTTATCTTTCTCATATAGTACTGATTTTCATAGAGCACACTTTTGTGTTGCAAATTTCTACAGAACTACAGAGAATCTTATCTATCCAATTTCATAGTTTACAACATCTAACATGTACATAAAATTCAGGAGAGGTAAGATTAATTCACAGTTACTGTGGAAACGTTGAAATGTTGGCAAAACATGAAAACAAAAGGAAAATGAATCACATCGCAATAACTTATGTAGTATATCTTCCTTGCAAGTCTACATCATGCAATGTCCTGATGGTAGCTTTCCCTCCCTTGAAGGCCCAAAATGATACAAGAGCATTGGCCTATTGGTTATCCAACTTGTCTACATTAACAGTTCTCCTCCAGCGATCATTCAAAACTACTAGGACAGCAATCTCAACCCCACAAAGGCGAAGATTTTCATCTGAGAGGATCTTTCATGCAAGTCAAACTTCAAATGCTGGGCTTGCTTATCTCAGTGGCCAACCAGTTGTTGGAGCTGCTGGATTACCCCAAGTTGAGGCAAAATATCCAGCTTTGCTCTTCAAGCAACAGCTTGTGGATCTAATTGAGAAGGTTTATGGTATGATAAGTGACAGTGTGAAGAAGGAACTAAATCCATTGCTTGAATTGTGTATCCAGGTAGCTGCCACATGCTCCTTGTTTGGTAAAAAAGAGTGAACCAAATTGAAAGATGTCTAAATTTGAATATCCTCAGGATCCACGAACTTCTCACAGTCCAGCAAAAGGACATGCGAATGGCTTGGGGCAAAAAAATCAGCTTGGACATTGGTTGGCCATTGTAAAGGTCCTCACCAACTATTTGGATGTTCTAAGGGCAAACCATGTAGGTGACCAATTGTTATGGACAAATAGCATCGATTGGCAGAAGGCTCTGAATGCACTTGACTATTTGGTTGAATTTGCAGGTTCCATCAATTTTGGTGCACAAGCTATTCACACAGATATTTTCGCTGATTGATGTTCAACTATTTAACAGGTAAACGCGCCATCCTAATGTTTTGTCTTGACATATGTGAGAGTCTCTAATCCTCATTCCCGTTGAAATAGACTCCTTTTGCGGCGGGAGTGTTGTTCATTTAGCAATGGGGAATATGTGAAAGTTGGACTAGCTGAACTAAAACATTGGTCAGACAATGCTACTCGAGAGGTTATTCACTTCCCTGTTTTTATATGGATTTTCTGAAGCTACCGCCTAATGCGTTTTTGTCTGATACAGTTTGCAGGTTCAGCCTGGGATGCACTGAAGCATATCAGACAGGCTGTTGATTTCTTGGTGCGTGTTCTTTGAAAAAAAACTGTTTCTTTTCCTTTTACAATTCAAATTTGATGCTTGATACCGTTTAATAATAAATGCATGCCATGCCCAACTCCTTTTGTCAGGTGATTTCCCTCAAACCAATGAGGACACTGAAAGAGATACGCACTGATGTGTGCCCTGTAAGTGCTCTACTACTATTTACTAAGATTTTTCCACATGCAATCCTTGCTCAATAAGTTGTCTTGCTAATGTTTTTACGATCTCTTCAGGCACTCAGCATACAACAGCTTGAGCGCATAGTTAGTATGTACTGGGATGACATCAATGGTTCAAACGCTATCTCAGCAGAGGTTAGATGATGAGCTTCATTATGCACTATATGATCTTGCGGGCTTGCCCCCGTTTTGTTTGTTTTCATTCAGACATGAATCATTTACTGATTAATTATTTCCGTTCTATCTACAGTTCACATCAAGCTTGAAAAGTGCAGTACGCGAGGAATCAAATACAGTCACAACCTTTTCCATACTGCTAGATGATGATTCATGGTCAGCTGTCTGTTACATTTGGATGAATGAATTAGTAGCTTTTCAGTTTAGGACCAGAGTTCTGATGGCTCATGGTTTTACTTGCTTCGTTACTTAATGCAGCATACCTTTTTCACTTGATGATATTGCAAAGACAATGCCAATCATTGAGGTGGCTGAAGATGATTTGCTACCTTTTGTTCGTGAAAACCCAAGCTTTGCGTTTTTATTGCAAAGGGGGAACAGTTAACTTTTCTCACCATGGAGCCTTGCAAGTTGTGGATAAATCAGTTGTTCCTATCCGTAGGATAGGGTGTACAGTTCGCATAATTCATTTTTATACCAGATAGCAGGCCATTGAAGAGTAGATTGCTAGGGGAGGTTATAGGTTTCTGATTTTTATTGATTGGTTCGTTGGTTGTATATTTGTGTTCACTTTTTCCTTGCATTGTTTCTTTGCAATTCTTTTTGGGCTTGTATACTAAGGGGCCAAGGGGCAAAACGCCTTTGTGTAAGCATAGAGCTTAGGAGGTTTTGCTATAATTAGTGAAGCTGTACATGTGTTGTAAATGATTAAAGAAAATGAATCGCATCGCTCTGCTGGTATAGAATAATGGTTGTGGTTGGCTGGTTTTTTAAAGATATACGGCGTTGATTCATTTCAATCTGCAGGAGATCATTAAATTTTCAATAAGAGAAGATATCTCACTCTGTTCCGAAATAAAATCACTTAGCATTTGAAATTTGTACCAAAATATGTAAGTACTTCTAACACTATTACTTGACTCATCAATCGCTTCCCTCAAATTTCTTCCCATCTCACCCAACATCTAACTAGGGAGCACCAAACCTTTTTTAAAACCTTAACTTTTGCTACACAACCAATAAATACTTATATTCTTTAATATGGGATTACTCAATTTTTAGTGCTGCATTTCTAGGAGGGCCACTAGGGGATTTATGATGCATCGGTGCCTCTATCCCACGCTCTACCGTGTGCCAATCCACGTCGCAAAACGCCTTGTTCTTGCGATGGCACACCCTTTGATACCTAGCCCTCTCGATGATGGGTTTGTTTGATCTATGCTAAGCCTAAATAGTTCTCTTGTTCTTCAGGACTATTGGCCTATTGGGGGATAAACCCCACTCTTAGGGAGGTAGGGTGTTTGGTTAACTAATGTAATAAATGACTAAAACGCTCCAGGATGACTTTACTCTTATGTAAACGGACAAGGGTAATAACGTAATTTTTCGTCGCTTATGAATAAAATGCCCTCCAAGGGCAAAGTGATGGCGGGATCCATTCCATCCACTGTTAACCTCACTTTGATCCTCTCCCCTTCTTCCCGGTATTCAAGTTAGGGCTCTTCCCAATGAAGACAGGAACCCTTGCCATGCATGTTAGATTTTGTTCCAACAAATACAATTACACATCAAGGGCATGTTTACTTTGATGTCATTTTCAACCTTACCAAATTTTGGTAAAGTTGCTAAAAAAAGTGGTTACATTTAGTTTGCTGCTAAATTTTAGTAACTATATAAGAAATTATACTAAAATTTTGGCAACTATACCAAAATTTTAGCATTGCTAAAATTTGTTAAGGTTTTTTTTGGCATCAAAGTGAACAGGTCCCAAGTAAAATAACTCGTGACACCTCCAAGGTACCACGAAGGTGAGATAGATACCTTATACCATGAAGATGTTATGATATTTCGCATTTTTGTCATGATACAACCACAGGCATGACACCTCATCAAAATCGGCGCATCAATCAGACATTTTCTTCCTTTGGATAGACGTTAACTTCTATAACATTTATTGGTACCCGTAAGTATCATTTTTTTTAATCACGGATACGTAAGGTATCATCACTGGTCACCGCTGAATCTTCATCGGTACCTGGTACCTGACAAGCATCATAACTGATAACTGTAGGTATCATCACGAATATCAGGATATCATCACTGGCACCATACAAAGATGTCATCACTAATTCTTGATATGCAAATGTATTGTTGTAATGCACATATGTATTAAGCCTATGATATATAATTAGTACCCAACTCACTAGAGCACAAGGCTCGACCCAAGGCTAGACTAGCCTGACTCAACCGATGCATGCAGCCAAATAAGCTAACACAGGCAAAGCGCTCATCGGGTAGAAAGAACAGAAGGACTGACTTCACGCACTTTAAAAATTTAAGGCTTTATTTTTCCTAAGAATATAGGGCGGGCACATTTTCGAAAGCACTTTTATATTAGTTGTTTACCTCAATCCTGTACTTTTTTTTAAGTTACAAAACAATGCAATACAATAGCACTATGCTAATTATTGGTGTCATGGTAAAAAAAATATTTTACTCCCTCTATCCTGAAATAACTCCATATCTAGTCTTGGGTGTTCAAAACAAGGTGGAGAAAAGACATTAATAGAAAAAAACAGTATTTATGAGTGATTATATGTGTATGGTAGGTAATGAATATTAAGGAATAAAACTCATCGACTTGCGGATGATAAGTAAAGGGATAGAAGTAAACTTATTTTTAAGATAAATGGTGCATATGCTAGAAATAAAGTTATTTTAGGGCAAAGGAAGTATATATTTGCTTGCAAACTATTCATATTTTTTCTAGAGTAAAATGCACCAGCGGTCCTTAAACTTGTTAGGAGATTTCACTTAGGTCCACGAACTTGCAAAGCACACATATCATCCAGGTCCAAAGCTACTTTTGACCGTGGTTTTGCCTACGTGGCACGCCACGTGGACGATGACATGAAATTTTTTTTATTTTTTTCTCCCTTCTTCCTTCTTTTTTCTCTTTTATGAAAAGACGATGACACGGACGATGATGTGTACGAGGCATTTTCGTCTTTTAGACAAGGAAGAAAGAGAAAAAAGAAGGGAGAAGGGAGAAAAAATAAAAAAAATTCCATGTCATCGTCCACGTGGCGTGCCACGTAGGCAAGACCACGGTCAAACGCGGCTTTGGACTGGGATGATATAATAAACCAAGTTTAGGGACCTCGATGTGCTCTTTGCAAGTTCGTAGACCTAAATGAAACCTCTTGACAAGTTTAAGGACCGCTGGTGCATTTTACTCTTTTTTCTACAATTGTATACGGAGAGGCGTCCTAAAATAGGATCTCATGTAATTAACGATCCGGGGGAATGAAATACACAGCAAGAAAGCAGCATATGCTCCTCATCCTCGTACAACTGTGATGAATTATATGAGGAAAACTAGCTGATTTGCTCGTGCGTTACCACAAAATCAAAGGTCCGACTGGGGATTGGAGATTGAGAGCATTTGAATTAGGGAGCAAGAGTTTTACCCAACATTGAGGAGCCCACATGTCAGTGTTAGAGGCATTACTAGCATATAGATATGTCTAGTCCAAGATGTTCCTGATGTATAACCAAAAGGTAGTGACAGACTGACAGTAGTAATAGGGTATGCCAAAATTGTGCTCATATGTTCCTATGATGGAGTTTGACGCCTGATATCAGTTGCGCACAAACAGTTACACAACCCAGGCAGATCATGTTGGAAATCAAAGCTATTCACTCACTCAATCTCACAAGAACTTTAGAAGATGGAGAGACAGAGAGTTTGCAAGTGCGTAGCACTCTTTTCTGTTTTTTCCTCACACTGAAACTGATTACATTGATCTCTTTTTAAAGATGCACATTACCTGCTTAAGCCTAAAGAAATGCAAGAATCCTAGATAATAAACTCACCCACGTCTAACAGAATTCTCCTGGTCAATCGCCGATACGTGCATGCAGCGTTCGACCGCTTCCTGCTCCTGGACGTGTGCTGATCCCTTCACCACATTTGCATGCATGGCTAACTAATTAGCTAGATGTACTCTCACCTCCTGGCAGCACGATCAGCCACTACTCACTGCCAATCTCTCTACTCACTAAGCCATGCAGCACAACCACTAAGCTAGCACTCACGCCATGCAACACACACATGTGACTTCTACTCAGCTACTACCATACAAATAAACATGCTGAAACTAAAACAACAAGATTATACTTCTAATAGATCAGAGCTACTTTTACAAGCAGCAGACAGCCAAAAGGCACAAATTTTGTTTTTCCAACTTCAGTCGCCATCCTAAACTTCGAATGAGAAGCTAATGGGCATGATACGAATAGAATAAAGTTATCGCACTAACAGGGGGTTATGGTTCATTCAGGTTGCGAATACTTGGACAATTTGTGCTTCTTTTTTGGGCGTGATCCTTCATTACTTGCAACATAAGACTCGAGTCTCACATTTTCCTGTTCTTCATTCTTTCTTAATTCCTTTGCTTTCTTCTGCAAAGCGAGCAGATTCACAATTATGAGATGACCATTCTAGTTACAGTAAACAAGCTACACTCCGAAGAAATTAATAAGCACAAAACAATGTTTACCTTTAAGGACTTTGCCATATCAGCAATTTCGCCATTGTTGATGATGGACTTGGCAGATTCATACGGAGTTGCAATGTCCTCCTGAAACAAATTGTTATTATTTAGAAGTAAAATTAGGAAGATAATCCTGAGAATACACAAATTGACAAACACAAATATCTAACATTTGGATGAACAAATGCAGCTTCTCTCTTTCTTTTGTTCTCTTCAGCTTTCTGCGATTGCTTTTCCAGCTTCTCTTGCCATTCCTTTGCTGACTTCTTTTTGTCACTCATGAAACACTCACCACTCTCAAGTTCAAGGTCAATCTACAACACCCAGGATGAAAAGTTCAGTAAAATGGTATTGCAATACACAAAAGAAAATATCCAGCAGAAGCTACATTTGCACTACACCATATCATCAGATAATATGGGAAAAAAATACATAGCCCATGGATGCTGTTTTCTCCAAATTATCATGTAGCAAAATATGAAATGCTAGTATCTTCTATACAAATACAATGATGTGAGGGGAGCAACATGCATAAATACGTAAGTTGCAGGAATCCATGGACTGCTAATCACCGCAACTCATAAGCTGGTGAAAACCAGTACAACAAACAGTACAAGAATGACACTACAAACAAGTTTAAATAAAAGCAATTACTTCACCTTGCTAGGTTGCTGAGGAGGTGGAAAGGGTGTGTATTGTTTCTTCTCCTTGGTTAACGGTTTCTTTTGCTTGACATTTTTCCTGAGGAAAAGCAAAAATAATGATGTACAAGACATGTGAAATAATTATCAGGGGCACTAACCCCCTTAATGAAGAGGATGCAAGTTCCTTACTTCTTAAATTTCGGGAGAAACTTGTCCCAGCTTTCATGGGCTAGCGCAGGATTTTTGACCAGCTCACGTTTAATTAGGAGTTCCTATGTAGATAAATAACAATTGTAAGTAATCACTAATCAACAATAGTTCTGTAGGAACATCCTTCAATCAAACATCTGAGAAACGAAACCAGCCACCTTGATGTGGTACACAGGATGCTTGACATTCTTTATGCAGTCCTCCACAACCCTCACAACTTGTTTCAATCCCTTCCAGTAACCCATAGCAGCAGCAGTGTTTCCCTTTTAATGATGAAAACAGCATAACAATAGTAGTCAAATCCTTTGACGTATAGAGTAAAAAGGATATCCCACAATTAGCACATAAAATAAAAAAGTTGGAAAACCTGAACTAAGATGTAGCAGCCAGTCAAAATCTCTATGGCCTGCAGTACATAAAACAGTACGTAAACAAAGGAATGTTTTTTCTTTAACTTTTTTAACCTTCCAATAATGAGATATATCAAAATTGAACATATGACAAGAAGTTTACCTTGAGAGTAGATAAATTAGGCCCCAGAAGACGTCCTCTCCTTTTAACAAATCTTTCCTACAGATGGCACATTATTAGCAGGCTGTAGAGTAAACTAAATTCAGCAAGACAGAGTGATCAACAAAATAGCATGAAGAGACGATGATTATGTTGTTTACTAGACGACACGCTATAAGCATGTAAAAAATTACACATTAAGTTAAATCAGACTAATTAAAGAAACCTAGGTTGTAGCTCCTCAGACCAGTTTGCATTTTTGTATTTGCAAGACAATACAGACAAGTTAGCACAGAACCTATGATGTGAATATGTGATGCAGGGCTTCAGATCATGTATTTTTTATATAACTAGCAAATCCATAAACATCATAATAGCTAGATGTTGTGTCAAGGAACGGAGTCCTAATATGAAAATACAATGCTACAAACTACAAGGTGACCCTCTTGACAAATTGCATCGTGCGAATCATTCAGTAACATGCTGTTGCTATTTCGAAACAGCGATTGAGTTGAGAAGGTTCTCCAACACCCTTATGCACTTGTGTTTCATGACTAACAAAAGCTAGTCTTTACAGGCTATGTTGAGTGGGGATATTTGCAACTGACAACAGACAGAAGTTTACAGTAGGAACCATGACTTGGTCATAGTTAGTATTAGAAGGCAAATTGATGTTAAACCATGAGAGGAAGTCTACCTTGTTCCGTATGATACTACCAATCTTAATAATAGCACAGCTCATCTCATCATTGAGTATTTTAATTGCCTGCAAAATTCAGTAGAGGCTTAGCGAGGAAACAAGTCTCACACAAAGCAATCAATGGGTGAGAAACACAATATTAGTAGCATGCGGGAATGGCATAGTATACTGAATAGAGATCTAAGTTAGCTCTCACATTTTCAACAACATTTTCTTATAACCTAAAGGACTCAGTGCAGTGGATACAAAGAGAATAATACCTGAGGAGCAGGGACACTCCTCGATAGCAATTTTATCAGTTCATTGGCCTTAATGATGATGTAGGGATCCTTGGTCTTCCTTGTGGTTGAAACGGTCATAGATCCCTCCACCTGCACAACATCAAGAGATGTCTCAAATCTTTACCACAGAATGAACTGGAGACCTCACCAAACAGGTCTAATCATTGACCGTCTACCAGATTGAGCTCGCAAGCGACCCCAAACTCCTTCAGTGCGCCTTTCACAATCGGCCACGCCTCCTGCAGGTACTTCTCTGCATCCGAACAAGAAAAACCTCGTCAATCCAAACATCATATGGACTTCGATTTCGCCCCACTAACAACCAGGCAAAACCAATCGATCGCCGATCGCGGAAGAAACCAGGAGAGCGCGGATGGGGGTGTGGGGTGAGGTGACTTGCCTCGGTACTGGGGGAAGAGCGTGGAGAAGGAGGTGACTTCGAGCATGCCGCCCTCGTTCCAGGAGGGGTCGAACTCCTCGATCTTCCAGTGGTCAATGTTGGGGTCATCGTCCCACGGCTTCGGCTTGTCGTGCTTCCCCTTGTGACGGGGCTTCCTCCCCTCCGCCGCCGCCACCAGGGCACTCGCATCGCCCTCCGACGCCATGGTCTAGGGTTTGATGGATTGAGCTGGCGGAGGTAGTGGTGTCCGTCGAGCTGGTTTTGCCGATTGGATGTGCTCGCCGTCGAGGGAAGAGACGGCGGTGATCGGCGACGAGGTCACGAGGGATATGAGGCGGCGGCGCGCGGGAGGCGAGGGGAGAGGCGAACAGCGAACACAGGGGGTTTTGGGTTTATTTGGGGATTGTACAGATTTATGCGGAATAGTCCCTCAAGCTGTGAGATATTGTGGAGGAATGCCATCTGTTTGCGTATGACAGGTGGGGCTAGCATTTGGGGTTTGGGAATGCTGGGATTTATCTGTAGGGATCCCTCAAGTTACGAGATATTACAGAGGAAGGCCTGATGGGCGAGGACAAGATCCGATCTTCTAGACGTTTTCGTCCTTAGGCCTTGTTTGGCTAATGGGTTAAGGAAATAATTTCTCACCCACCAAAAGACATATTTAAATCCTAACCATTCTTTCTTTCTCTTTCATTTAATTCTAACATTTCATTCATTTTCCAATCTCAATCCCACCTCTCATTTTCCATTATCCAAATATAGCCTTAGTGTTGATGCCCTAAATCAGCCTTTCAAAAGTTGGTGTTGTCAGTAAGGTTGAGAAGTGTAAGTTTTTTCAGTTTATTAATTTTGTCAATATTTTGGGTAGAAAAGATTCTAGAATTACCAGACAGTGTAAACAAATTTTAACAACGTTTAGATGGTTACATTCCTAAATTTGAGTAAAGTCAAAACTTAGTAGAGTTAATTTTGGCTATAAAGTAAATAATCCCTACATCAAGGTTGCAGCTTGCTTTAACATTTTGCAAGTAGTATAAATCTAGTTATTGAAGAAAGGCAATGTGATGGTAGGCAAATCATTATCTGCTACTTCTATGTAATGTATGCAACACTTGCAATCTCTGAGTTGCTTAATTTTCTTTTCACATATTACAAGATATAGTGCCTATTTGGTACGACTCCAGCTCCAGCTCTACATTTTTTAGAGCTAAAGCCCAGCCAAATAGTTTTAGGTCTACCTAAAATAAGAGTAAAACTGGGTGAAGCGCTCTCACAAAATAAACTAAAGAGGTGGAGCTAGGTTTAAGATGTTCTACAACTCTACTACAGACTCAACTCCTAGAGTTAAATTTAGGTGTTGGAACTATTATGCATGGACCATTACATTTTACCTAGCAGGTTGTGAACCTGTAAGAAATTACAAAATTGCTAATCTTCATATGACAGAATTTTAGAGGAAAGGAAGGATTTCTATCAAATTTTGGATCGTTGGATCCACACCAAGATTCATACAAATCTTTTTCTCCTCTAACGCCAATGAGTTGCGCAAGTCCGATAAGACGGTGATGTCCCCAACCCATTAGGGTTTGGGGTTAGAGTTGGAGGAAGGTGGTAGGGGAGAGGTGGGGGGAAGAGGGTTCCCCTAGGCTTATGGGATGGTCACGGCCGACAGAGGACCGGCGATGAACAGAGGGCCGACGTATAAGCCATATGGAAGGACGAAAACAATGGAGCCTGTGTAAAGAATGGTGATAAGGGAAACAAGAGAAGTTAGGAGGCGGGGGGAGGGGGTAAGGTGGAGACGCATGTCACACATTTTTTTAAAAATAATGGATTTATATTAACCCCGGTCTCTACACCTGTGAGGGTGCACCTGTCACACATAACAACCAATCAAAGGTGACTCGAGTAATATTCGACGGGTGGTTAAATTACACCTATCACAAATGACTTTTCGTCTTTAACGGGTGTTAAGGTTTCGAGTCGACATAGTTATTCTCTATCAGTTTGTACTTTAACCTATCAGTCTATCACAAATAAGATCTCAACTGTGATGATGGGTTGTGTCCTATAGTTTTATCTTTAACGAATATTTTTTCTATTCCTTTTAAAGATAAGATTATATGTGACCTTCGTTTATCTATGCGAAAAGGCATGTAGCCTAGTGGTTACAAGAGTCTCAATAGCACCTTATGTTCTAGGTTTGACTTTCCATGAGAGCGAATTTTCCAGGATTCAACGGCATTCTCATAGGGGTAGGGTTGCGTGCGTGTGTTCATAGGGATGAGTGTGCGCGTGTGAAAAGTTTTTCTATAGGAAATTGCTTTAAAAAATCATATTGCTTCATTTTTTAATTTTCACTAAAAAAATCATTTTCGAGTTCTTTTAGCTAGTACTTAATTAATCATGTGGCAATCCGTAGTTTTGTTTTTCATAAAAGGAGGATTAGTTCCCAACCCACGAGACTATAACACTAGAGTGAAGACTGAAGACAGAATATGATGCATGCTAACAATGCATTTATGTGATGGCAAAAAATGAGAGTCGCATAATTTCAATATTTTCACTCCAACATCGTTCAAAACTTGTGGACCTAAGCGCATTCTCCTCTTTTTAATATTTTTTTCTCTCCCCAATGGATCCGAAAATGTCACCTAGCAAATTACCAGTTTTTTCCCTTCAACTATGACATTTTTTTATGCCTATCAGCAAATTACATAAATTTTAAAGGTGTTGTAGTAAAATCAAAATTTGCCATATAAAGAGTCAGGTGAAATTACTTTTCTATACCAAAATTTGCCATCAAAATGACTACTCGTGCGATGAACGAACACATTTCCAGTTTTCTTTCTGAAAATAATTGACGAGCAACAGCGCTCTCAGGTCTCTATTAAATCTTTTGAATTCGATGTACTAACCGGTGTATGACGCATTCGAACTGAAGGAAGGGGAAATTAACACACAGCGTTTGCAATATTTGGAATGCTAAGAACATAACTACTAGGCTAGGAGTGCGTGGAGCAAAGACTTCGTGCGTACTATGATTCACATGTAGCAAGGAAAACCAAACAGCCGATCGATTTGGTGATCAGTAAATCCAGTAAATCTAGAAAGAAACTTGGCGCTTTAGGTTCCTACAGTTCTAGCTCCAGCAAATCAATGGACATACTGAAAGAAACAATTACATTTCTGAGCTGAACTGAACAGAGTTACAATGTTTCATCTGATTAAACCTCCAGTTGGGTTGTGAACAAAATATTTTACACATAAAACTGCATGTAGCAGTTAGCATATACAGCGTCAAAATAAGGACACCAATTATTTGGATGTACAACAATGGCGCCAGGGAAGGGGTTTCTGAGCTTCATACAAACTGACCATGGTATGAAATACCACTTCCCTGTCAGTCTCACATGTGAGGCCCAGACTTTGGGTTGGGAATCAAGGAATGCCCAGACTTATCATCAGTGACATGCAGACTAGCAGACTGGTTGGCGTTGGCGTTCAGAGTGTTTGCCATGTCCATACCATCATCGAATGGGTCGAAGAAGTCAGAATACCTCACATTGGCTACTGGTATCTCTGGCAGAGAATTCAGTATCCCGTCAAATATCTCATGGTTCTCATCAGCATGTGGCACGAAGGCAGAGATATCAACTTGTGGTGCCATGGGAGAGAGATAGTCATCGACTTGTGCAATTGGAAAAATGGGGAAGAGGGTAGAGATATGCTCGTCAACTTGTGGCACAGTGGCAGCTTGTTGATCACCTGCCTTCTTTGCTCCGATGACCTTCACAAGTTATAAATTATCATATGTAATGAGCATAAAAGAGTAGGGTGATTAAATAATTATGAGACAAGGTGATTACAAATCGGTTATTCTCATCATCTTTGTATATCACAATGGAGTCTCCTAGTTGAAGATCATGGGTTCTGACATAATCCCCTGGTGTTTAAAAGGAGGGAAGGAATATAAGAACATTGTTCTATAACGTTTAACAGAAAAAGGAAAAAAATGAAATGAGGTACTCACCGGTATTCTCAAGTACATACATCCTGCTCTTGTTGTTGGGCCAATACCTGTATAGGAGATGATTCATTGTGACACTATACATGTGCAACTTACTGCGGAAATAAAATTTTTTTAGTATAAACAGAAAAAAAAGGGGACATTTTTTAGTGAACAGAAAAAAACATTTTTTGAAGATTATCTAGAAACTTAAAATGCCTCTTAAGATTAAGATTTTTATGTGGTACTTGTTAAAACTTAAAAGGGGTGGTTTTGACAAAGAACAATTTGGTAAGAGGAATTGGAATGGTAGTATGAGATGTTGCTTTTGCATGAAAAATGAGACTATCCATCATCTTTTCCTGGAGTGTCACTATGCAAAATTCCTTTGGAGAGCATCGCAGTTTTCTTCTGGTTTATATATTCCTCATAGTATTTCTCATATTTTTGGAAATTGGCTTGTGAGGGTTGATAAAAAAACCAAAAAAACTCATTCTTGTAGGAGCATCTACTTTATGTTGGACTCTATAGTTGAGCATAAATGATATAGTTTTTGATAAAATACCATCTGAATTTTATATGCAGGTGCTTTTCAGGCAACATATTGGCCGGTCCGGTCCTAGGTTCCACTACAAAAGTGTGATGAAGATATCAAGTTAATAAAAGTTGCATGTCGCCATCTTGAGTCAATGGTTATGTAACTTTTCACAAACTTCGGCTGGAGGATCACAAATAGAATTCAATAAGTTGTGGTTTTTTATGCTGGTGTGTGCCTCTATCAGTTTGGTTGTGTCCTTCATATTTCGTTGTGATGTGATCGGTTTGTTCCCAATTTTTGTAATAATTGGTTTTAGCTCTGTGAGCAAATGCTGGAATTTTATTCCATTATCTAAAAAAACCATCATTCAAAATGTACAGAGTTAGGTTTGCTACCTTCCCAAGGACATAAAAAGCTCAACAAATAAATGTGAGTAAATTCAAAGAGATGAGGATGGTATATAAAACAACAACATTCCTAACAGAATCCATATACATGTTGCAACCGTATTATTTTTCAAAGTCTACCCAATATAGAAGAACTAATTTCTTGTTGGATATGGCAAAATAGGCGCAAACACACTAAAGAAAATACATTTCATTAAGAGGAAACAACCTAATATCAAAGCGTTAAGAGAATTCATACATACAATAAAGTTGAAATTAATGCATCATTGAAAATAAAGTATGACTCAGATGGTTATTGGCAGAGGAAGCCATGGTAACAACAAATTTAAAGCCAAATAGACAAACTGTTCAACCTGTACTTGAAGGTCCAGAGTTGTGCATTTTGCAAATCATGCATACATAAACTTTTCTTGCCATCCTTTGATGTCAGAATTGGTAGGTAAGCCTCTGCCTCTTTCTGAGGAATTCATTCATCAGAGACAAGTGTCAGGTGTATAAAAAGACAGGTTTGCTTCAGTAATCCTATATAAGAAGAGTTTGTGAATATGAAGAAACATTAGTTTTACTAACAAAGGGATGAATCTGAATAAAAATTAGATTTGATCTCTATGGTTTAAAACAAAGACCTAATGCTGTCAACCTATAGGGAATATAATATTATATAGATCTGTCATCTCCAAGTACTTATCAGCATATTCTTTCTGCTTATAGCACAAACATTTGATCTGTGACAAGTAGTGCTAATTTACAGATTCATCATCCCCAAGTATTTACCAGTATATTCATGCTATTCACGTCAAGAGAAGCTCATTTTATTCAAGAACTAATGTTTGCACTTTTGATCCTTGTTCTCTATTTTCTTATTGGATGCCACCAGAAATCCTACATGATTTTACCATCCATGCTGCCACCAAAAACCAATGATGTTCACCTAACTGGTTCTTGATTAAGATGGTTCACTTTTATCATTAATAGACATTAAAGATTCACATAATTATTAAGAGGTGTACTGAAGCAAATACCCCCCAAAAAAGGAACATGTCATAGATTTGCATCAGAACAGACCTTCGGGAGAACAATTCTCCCTAGCTGGCTTACGTCGCTGTACCGTAGTTCCTTTTGCAGAATTACTCTCAATCCAGCAGTGTGGTGCTACATAAACATTGGAGAAGCTTGCAATTCAGAAATGTGAATTACGTTCGAATAAATCTGCCCTTTTCCATGAAGAAAAGAAATAGTCACTCGGTTTTCTGCATAAATCTTACATCTGAATCAAGGATAGCTCTATTCAAATCCAACATGTTTACCTATCATCAGAAGATGAAGTCCATTTAGGCAGAATACATGAAGTGTGGCAGATTTGAATTCATGGACCATACACAGTCAACCCCCTTTTCTATTTGCAAATGGTTTCACCACACTTGCTTGCATGATGACCAGGTTAAAATAATCAGAAAAGTGTTTGTCAGTATGTATAACTAACATTTCATTACCGTACTATCCATACCTTCCTACACCAGTTATACCCACCATTAGTAATAGAAATTACTCCACTAAGAACACATATCCCCGATTTGTGCCTAGTTCTTGCACGTGCATCGCTCTTTACAAACAGGGAAGAAAATTCCCCCACAGTTTTTTTTAAGAAGTAGAGATTTCATATGGTCCAGTTGTTGACATAAAACATGGAGACAAAAACAAGCATTTATCTAAAATGGAGGGTTACCTGGACATTAGAGGTCAAGAACTAACCTAAGGTCCAAAATGTAAACCTTATACTATACTGGCACTTTCATGTATCAGCTAGTGTGATGACTAATGTAATCACTTCTATGCTCCATGTTCTGGCCAGAATGTATCAGTTCCCATCGAAGATTCACTTGTACGGCAAACCATGGCGAGTTGACATGGCATGGCATGTACTGCCAACTCCTACCAACTTTGTGATGCAGCAAGCTGCTGAGAGCATACACAAATACCGACAATTTCTACCAACTTTTCAGCATTCCTAACATATAAATACAACAAAAAGAGCACCGAACACCCCAAAATACTTAACATAACTAAATCAACAAATTGACGAAGACGATCCACTGATTATGCGATTGTTACTACCCTGAAAAGGGCAAAGATTAAGCCCACAGGGCGCCACAGCAAATCGTCTATTCATGTGTCACGTGACACGGCACGTGGACCACGAAATCCATCTCTGATTGACCCAGGAACATGGATGTTATACACTTATACTAATCATCACTGACAAAAAAAAAAAAAAAACTACCCTGGAACGAGCTATCGCTATCAGGAATCCGACAAAGAACCGCCCCAATTATTCCTTGCCATAACCTATGACTTAAGCAATACGGATCACGCCTGAAGCAAAAACGAGAGCCAAGTTTTTCCTAAAAAAAATGTCGATTGATCAAACACCGTACACATAGATCGCTCAAATCTGATCATGGTATTCGAGTCAGCTACTGGAATCGAGGAAATTCGTTGATCAGATTTCCCCAATCGAGCAAATCAGGGCTCCAAATCGCCCAGGAAGATCAACACATCTGCGAGCTTCTTCCAACCAAAATTTTATAATCCGGCGACGTTGGGACCAGTGGAACGAGCCGACGATCGCCCCTCTCTCGCCTGGGCCTCCAGCCCACGGCGCCTCCCCGACAACACCAACGGCCCACCATCTCCACGCATATACGGAGAAACCAAGCAAAACCGCGGAACAGGAGGAGAGTCCGTGAATTCCGAGGCACTCACAGAGGAGGGTCGGGGCGCGGCCGGCCTCAGGGAGGCGGCGGGGCGGGGGCAACGGCCGCCGGACCTGCGCTTCCGGGTCACCCCCCGCGGCCGGTCGGAGACGGCGGCGCCGTCGCCGGAGGAGGAGGAGGTGGAGGCGGAGGAGGATCGGCGCTTGCTGGTGACCCCGGCCATGTCGGTGGGACGGGCGGCGGAGGTCGAGGTGGAGGGAGGAAGAGGAGGAATTGGAGGAGGAGGAGGAGGAGGAGGCGAGGACGCTGCGGCGGCGGAGGCGGCTAGGGTTGGGGGCCGCGCTCCCTGGTCTTTTATAGGAGGGAGGACGGGCGGAGACGCGGAGACGGGGGCGCGGCGCGCCAAGTGGCGTGCGAGCTCTGAGGCGGGTGCAGGTGGGCAGGAGGAGCCAACGCCCGTCGGGGCGAGGCCGAGGCGCGGCCAACCGCGCGGGCGCAAGGTGGCACGCGACGGGTGGGAGGCGAGGGCTGGCTGCTCCTGCCATCTCTCCTCCCCCCGCATCGGGATTCCCTGCGGGCGCCGCGCCGAATGGCTCTCCCTCTCTCTCTCTCTCTCTCTCTCTCGTCTCGACTCTTCCCGTTTCGAGTTTTGAATCCGGTCGATCGGGTGGCTGCTGCTGCTGCGTGCGTGGGCGGCTGCGCGCGCGCTGGCTGCTTACTGCCGCTTGCGCTTGGGTTGATTTGGGCCCCATGCGCTTGGTGGTTTCGGTTCACTGCCGCCCGCGCGCGCTCTGGCGATTCACTGGTGGGATGTTGCGGTGAGGCTTGAAAGATGGGGGAGGGGTCGCCAAAATTAGCCCCTTGCACTTCTTTTTATCTGTAAACAAGATGGATTTAACTTAAAAGCTGTAGAACAAAATCTCATGCTCCATTGATGTTGTATTGCGCCCTCTACAATCGAGAGCCATTAGCTTGATAATAAGAAGTTTAATAGTATAATCAACTACTAGCTCCAAATTATTTATAGCTAATGTAATAGCCAATTCATACAATAATTGCTTACTATACTATTAATAATTGGTCCTACCTATCATACACACATTACGTTTTGGAGTCTGTGCTGCAGCTGACTTACAGATCTGTAGCCCGCTGCTCTTCTCTCTCTTCCCTTATCTCTTTAAAATATATTTATAGCTGGCTTATAGTCTCTATTGTACCTGCTTTAAGGCGCGCACATTTACTGTTGCCCTAAACATTTAAAATAACCACGCACATTGAACACTATTTCCATCGTTTTAAACTATAAGCATTTTTATTTTTTTATAAAAATATAAGTATTCACAGAGTATTACTTTCTCCATCTCCCCCTTTACAACTATTCTTATTTAATAAAAGGCATCATAGTTTTTCTTTTCTTGTTTGTACTAAAAAAACTAAAAAATGCTTATATTATCTTTATTTCAAAATATAATATATTCTTAGTCTGTACTTTCAAAATATCTAAACATGCTTATAATACCTTTAGTTTTTAATATAATGTTGTTAACTTTTGACTATGCCGTTCGAGCATTCTCTTTTTTTTTAAAAAAAAGAATATGTAAGTAGGACCATTTATTTTGTTGGGACTACTTTCATCATTAAGAGTACTAGTAGAAGCCAAAATACGGTGTATTCATACCGAGTACTCCTTATGTTTCATAATACTCCCTCCATCTAAAAATATAGGGCACAACCACTTTTCTCTCATATCTCATAATATAAGGTGTGCATGCATACATACATTATTAACTAGCATCTATTGGTCCTATAAAATTGATTTGTTTTAAATCTTATACCATCAAACTTCCCAATCACATTGCTTGCATGTATCAATGTGATCTAATCAAGAAGAAGATTAAATGTTTTCTTGGTCTTTGTGTTTTGAGTGGTAATACCTTATATTTTGAGATGGATGGAGTATAAGGCACAACTAATTTTTTTAGATGTTTCATAATATAAGGGCAGTCCCAACCCTTCACCTAGGATAGTGTCTATGGCATTAACTACATTGCCATGTAGGACTTTTAGCTTATGTGGCACTATATTAATTAAGAGAGAGAGTGAAGAGAGGAAGAAACTGGGTCTCATGCAAGACACAGCTTCAACACGAGAACCTATGCACTAAACACTATCAAGTTTTGTATTGGGAGAGAATAGTGTCTTCATAATATATAAAGAATAAATATGATTGATAGAGAAGAGAGATGATATATTTATTAATGGCCCACTTTAAGAGACCATAGGTTGTAGAGTGTAGTTTCTATTGTGATGTCTTATTGACATGGCACCATAGGCACTGCTTATAGACACTATGAGTTGGGACTGCCCTAAGGCGTGCATATATGCATGCAATTAATTAGTACCTCTTCTAGATTAAATTATGATTTTTTTTAAATTATCGACCCTCATGATCTCTAATTCTATTGGGTGCATGTATTTTATTTATTAGGGTGATTTAAATTAGGAGGTGATAATAATTGTTTCGGTTATGACTTAAATTTTGGAACGGATGGAGTAATAGATAAATGCCTCCCTAACTATTGGTAAGTTGAATATGAACATGGAGAATATATAGATGGTCTTTGACACTTCAAATCCTAAATATACGAAGAAAGCTTACACTACAACTCACAAATCACAAATTATTGATCAGAGAAAATGGTAGAAAGAGAGCTATATGACTTGTACCTACTAGTTATGTATACGTTTGCTAGTTCAGTGTTGTGTCGACTTGTGAAAAGAAGGGGCAAGAACGTGAATTAGACGCTTTCAGTTTGAGTTTTGACTATTGGGTCTTCCGCATCAATTACAGTAGTATTTCATCGTTTCAGGTTATAAGATTTTTTTAGCATTGTCCACATACATATAAATATTAATAAATCTAAGCACACATATATATAGATTCATTAATATATATATATATATATATATATATATATATATATATATATATATATATATATATATATATATATATATATATATATATATATGTGGATAATGTTAAAAAGTTTTATAATATGAAACGGAGGCAGTAGTATTATTTTTCTACTAATGTATTTATACAGTTGTTCTCGTGCACAATGGTTTGCCGCCCACAATAAATACGGAAAGTCAAAAAAAAAAAAACTCGAAATGCCAAGTCATTACGCATACCTCATGTGTGGTAGTAGTATGGGAGAGTACTGCTAGTAGCTGAAATGTGCTTGCCCACTCCCACCGCCAATGTAGTAGCTACAATCTCAAAAGCAGAGCCGTTGTTTTGGCTGCACAGGCTTGTGGCTCCTTGTTCCCATGCACAAAAGGCGCTATTCTGTAGTGGACTCTGGAGTAGAAAGCATCAAGAGGGGTTGGGGCATTGCCACGGCAGGAGCGAAGTCACGCACAGAGACAGAGTATGTGTGGAACTATATATACGTGTGTTTGCTCACCTGATCTATCCCCAGCATTTATAGAACACGTCATCTGTCTTGGTCGTTGGTGCATTTAGGAGTAATTGCCATGAAGCAATGGAGTATGTGTATTGTTGCTAACTCGATTTGGTCTACGCGCAGAAGCAATGGTGTGGCAATGGCATTGTGTGAGAGTAGTGTACATCTCATGAATTCACGCGGTGTTGTGATCGACAAAATCACAGAGTGGTCACCGGTTTTCTGTTCGTTCCTAATTGCTCTACACGAAATTTTATCGCAACTCGCGTGACATCCTAGCTGCCGCGCTAGCCCATATATAGCTGGGCTGTTGGGCCCTTTTAAGCCCAACACAACGTGACACGCACTGTGGACTAGCCCAGTCCAGTATTGATATGCTAATCGATTTTTTCAACTTCTCATGTCGTCAGCACTCAAGCCCTGATTCTTTCAGCTTGGGATTATTATAATCTAGATTATTGAGTCAGATTACTATAAGTTAGATTGTTATAATCTGTAGTAGAATAAGCGGTTATTTGTTTCTTTCCTAGATTATTGAGTTTGCAAGTCTAAAGAGGGAGTGGGGTGGCATGGTGGGTAATTTTTCACCCAATAATCTGGAAAAAGCTCACCTAAATGAGCTTATCAGATTATAATAAGCTGGGCTCCAGATTATAATAAACTACTTCAATAAGTTGTATGTTTCTTTCAGCTTACTCATAATAATCTAGATTATAATAATCCTAAGCTGAAAGAAACATGGCCTCAGCCTTATGGAACTGGATATCTCTAGTAGTACTGTAAGCTTGACAGTTAGGGTTAACCCCACGATACCCAAATTTTGTGGTAGCTTTAATCCAAACTAGTTGGGTGGCCCGCCAATTGCGCAGCTAGCACCCATATAAAATTATATATTTTATAATATGATTTTACTTAAAATTTATTAAATAGTTATCTCATTGTCTTAAGATTTGAAAGACCAAACCTTATTATCCCCTTCTTTTTAATTTTATAATTTTTAAAAGTCACACCAGTTGCTACCCCTTACTTCTGTCATATTATTCTTTATTAGCTTGCTTGATCTACCACTATTTCTATTCATTCTCCTTGGAACCTTTAAAATTGGATCTAAAAACTTATAGTTTTTAGAGTTTATTATCATGTTGGGTTTCTTTTTTATAATTTATAGAAGTCCCGTCAAACACTGTCATTATACTCCTCTATGACCATCCACTGCATCTTCTCTTTTATTGTCATTGCTATTTTAAAAATCAAACATAATTATCATTTAAGTTCATTTTTTTTTTACTTTCTAGAAGTTCCGCCAAAATGTCAGTGACTTTGTTATTGTACTCCTCTATAGCTCGTCTACTGCCGCTCTTCTTTATTGTCATTGAGATTTTAAAATCAAACATGATTATTATTGGGGTTTATTTATTTATTTATTTACTTTTTAGAACCCCGGGCCTTTAAAAATTGGACCTTATAGTTTTTTGAGTTTATTCTCTCGTTGGGTTTCATGTTTTTTATAACTTTTAGAAATCCCGTCAAACGCTGCCACTGTACTCTTCTACGACCCGTCCGCCGCATACTCTTTATTGTCATTGGGATTGTAAAAATCGAACATAACTATCGTTGGAATTCATTTTTTACTTTCTAGAAGACCCACCAACCATCGGCGACTCTGCCATTGTACTCCTATACGACCCCCCCGCTGACTCTCATTTTTATTGTATTTGAGATTTTAAAAATCAAATATGATTATCATTGGGGTTATTTTTTTTACTTTCTAGAAATCCCCACCAACCGCCTTGATCGATTGCTTCGTCTTTCCTTTTAATCGCCTTTTAATTGGTGTTTTATTAATAGTTTTTAGATGTCTCATCAACCGCCACCACTCTGCTCCTCTATAGGCCTCTTACTTAAATAATCTCGTCATGTGTTTTAGATAGTCTTTTCTTTCAATAGTCTTAATTTTTTTGTAGTTATTTATAAATTGTATTCCTAGTTGAAATCTTATTTTTCTTTTTCTGATTTCAGAATTTATTTTATTTTTCGTATTTTGTTATTTTGATTTTTTGATTTTTTATTTTTTATTTTCAATTCCAATTGTTTTAAAATTGTATTCCTACTTTAATCCTCTTTTTAATTTGCCTAATTTTGGATTTTATTTTATTTTTATGCCGAATTTTAATTAATATACTATTTGGTTATTATATGTACTCTTATTTCAATATTGCTTATATTTAATTTTAAGTTTTAGTTAATTTTAAATTGTAGTCCTACTTGAACTCTTATTTTATTTTCCTTTTTATAATTTCGATTTTTTAATTTTTTATTTCGAATTTTAATTAATCTCGTATTGTATTCTTTTATGGACTCTTCTTTCAATATTCCTTATTTTTAATTCCAAATTTCATTAATTTTTAAATTGTATTCCTACTTGGACTCTTCTTGTTTTTTTCTAATTTCGGATTTTTATTTTATTTTTATTTCGAATTTTGATTAATCTCATATTGGGT